CCTGTTTTTTTCTGGTAAAGTGGGTGGTGGGTGGGACAGGAAGGAAGTAAAGATAGATTAAGAAGGTTCAATCTGGTAATTTAGGAGAGAGGGGATGTGGATTTTGGCAGCAGAAATGGAGAGAATTGATGGCAATCAAACAGCTTTGGAGAGGAGGAAGCCACTGGACATGGGGATTTCTTGGTTATCTGGGGCAAGAGAGCAGGAAAAATCATGAATGACTCCCAGATCTTTATCCTGGACAACTGAGTTAAGGGAGATAAAATTCAAGAAGATAAACAGAACCTGAAGAGATTGAGTTAAAAGTGGAGTGGGCCAAGGAACAAAACAGACCTGTTTGATCTTTGGCAGTTCATAGTATGTTCAATACTCTTTTCCAGCACTGACTATAGATACAAGTAGAAGAAAATCTTTAACAAAGGTGGGTAAAAAGGGGAGAGTACGAGTTAGCTCTGTAATATTCAAGTTGTTGTTGTTATGTGCTGCTGTGTCAGAACCTACTCAGAGCTGAGTCTCCAGACCATTTTCACCTCCTCTTTGCCAATTTGGATACCTCTTATTTACTTCTTTTGTCTTATTGCTATCGCTAAGACTTCCAATACAGTATTGAATAAGAGAGGTGATAGTGGGCTTCCTTGCCTAGTTCCTGTTCTTAACGGGAATGCCTTTAACCTCTCTCCATTGTGAACAATGTTGGCTCTCAGGTTTGCACTTTTTACTCTGTTGAAGAAATTCCCCTCTAATCCTATTTTGTTGAGTGTTTTAATCAGGAAATGGTGTTGGATTTTGTTAAAAGCCGTTTCTGCATCAATTGATAGGATCATGTGGTTCTTGTTCTTTGCTTTGTTAATGTGATAAATTACATTAATTGTTTTCCTTATGTTGAACCATCCTTGCATACCTGTTATGAATCCCACTTGGTCATGGTGAATTATTTCTTTGATGTATTGTTGAATTCTATTGGCCAGTATTTTATTCAGGATTTTTGCATCTATGTTCATAAGAGATATTGGCCTATAGTTTTATATTTTGGTAGTGTCCTTCCAGGCCATTTTCAAAGGCAGTAAATTGCATGGGAATAAAATTATCATCCTTCTCCTGTGGAGCATCTGGTGGATATGAACTATCTACCTTTGGGATAGAAGCGCATATTCTTACCACTAGGCCACCAGAGTTCCCTAATATTCAAGTAGAGATTTAAAAAAAAAAATCTAAACTCGAAAACCTCAACCACATTGCGATTGAGTTGGAAATGACCTGTAGCTGACCCTCTAGGACATTTTCAGAGGTTGTCAATCTCCTGCCTGGGAGGAGATGGCCCATTTTTTTCCACAAGACTTCTGGTGAATTCCAGCCACCTGAGAGGCACCACCTTTAGGTTCATAATACAACTCTGTATGGACTAGAACCAGAGCTCTCTAGCAGATACTTCACCATTCACTCATTGCCTTCAAGTAGAAACCAACTCATAGCTGACCTTCCAGTGGGCGTTCAGAGGCTGTAAATTGCATGGGAGGAAATTGCCCATCTTTCTCTCATAGAGCAGCTGGTGGGTTCAAACTGTCTGCCTTTGCATGGGTTGGCAGCACAGTTCCCTAGCCACTAGGCAACCAGAGCTCCCTTTAGAGATATTTAGAAATATTTAAAAGTCTTACAGACCTCCAATGAGATAGACCGACACAGTGAGTGCAGGAATGGGCTCAAGTGTGTTTTAGAGATGATGAGAATGGCACAGGATAGGAGAGAGTTCAGGTCTGTTATTCGCAGGATCACTGAATTGTACTTGGCTCACCAGGACCTAACAACAACTAGTGTCTTATAATGAGTAAGGGTTTTTTTTAAGTCTTGTAAGGAATCCCGGTGGTATAGTTCATAATATATCAAGCTACTAACTACAAGTTTTTTACACCTTTAGTAAAAAAAAAAAAACAACACAGATTCATCCTAGAGAGGGTTAAACCAGGCTACTCCTTGGAGGCAAAGATTCTGGGGCTTCATCCAACATACTTTGGACATGTTGCAAGGAGAGACAGGTCTTTGGAGAGGGACATCATGCTGGGTAGAGTAGAGGGACAGCGCAGGAGGGGAAGACCCTCTATGAGGTGGATTGATTCAGTGACTGGGGTAATCAGGATGGGTGTGTCAGAGGCAATGCGATTGGCACAGGATAGAGCAGGGTTTAGGGCTGTTGTACACAGGGTCACAATGTGTCGCAAACGACTCGACGGCACATAACAACAATAACAACAACAACAACTAACTAAAAGGTCAGCAGTTCAAATCCACTAGCTTCTCCAAGGGAGAAAGATGGACAGTATCTTCATCTTAAGATTTGCAGGCTTGTAAACCCAATGGGTTGCTATGATTCAGAATCAACTCAATGGTAGTGGACTGAGGTTTTGTTTTGCTTTCTGTTTAATATAAGTCTGAAGTTCAGGACTGCACGCACTCATAGTCATAGGAATTATTGCAATGAAGGTGATAATGGATTGTAGCCACCCAAGAAACATGTGGAGAATTGGAAGAGAAGACAAGAAGCATGAGGATAGAAAATAACAAAGTTTTGTGGAGATCAGATAAAGAGAAAAGAAAGAGGGAGATCACATGAAGGATTCCAAGAAGGCGAAGTTCCTAAGAGCATGGTTTGGTAACCTCAAGTTAGCTCGGACCCAGCAAACCTCCATTCTGTTTCCATGGCTATAAACAGCAATGGGAAGAAATGGCCCGTCTCCCTTTTTTAGAGCCATGAGTGGACTTGAACTTCTGGAGACTCACAGCCCAATACTATTACACCAGAGCTCCCCCTAAGAGTTTGGTGATGTGGAAATCAAGAAAGGAAATTTTCCAGAAGGATGGATTGTTCAACAATACGAGAGAAGCCACTAACAATCAAAATAAGTATTCGGCCAGAATTCTTATTCAGCTCATGGTGGTGGAAGCAATTTCTAGGGACTGCTTGTGAGCAGAAGTTAGAAATGGGCTGGAGATGGATAGAAAATCAGGAAATGGAGGCAGGTAGGTTAGAAAACTCTTCCTGAAGTTGGTTAAATGACCAAATCCTGACATTGTCTGCTTCTTGGTGGTTTCTTCAGGGCTGTCTCCTGTGTCCTAGGATCTGACCTGAGCTGCTGACCTTCAGAGGGCGCTGGCATTCTGTGATTGTATCAGAGTGGCCTTGCACAAGCTCTCAAGACCATTTTGGCTCTGGTGGTAATTTTCCTTCAGTGGAACTAAGGTATCTGGTCTAAGAACTGAAGCATCTGACTTGGCTGATCAAAGGTCATCACGTGCACTGAAGCCACCTACTTGGCAGATGCAATGAAAAGCTATGCAGATCTGGTGGGCCCAGGACAGGATGCTGAGGCGTGGGAGGGGAAGAAAGCAGGTGTTAAGTATACAGACAGCGTGCCTATCAGAGTAGCTTGTTACATTTCCTATTTGTGTCAAAAAACAATTTTGTAGGAATCACCAAAGCAATCTCATCATGGTTTTCTAAACCAGGTTGGGATGTGGGGTAGGGATTTGCACAGCTGCTTTTATTTTGAAGACAATCTGATAAAGCCAAGAACAAATCACTCAGAGGCGTATAACCTACACATCTCAATGATTCAAGTCTTAGTTTAGACCTTGAGTGTTTTCGATGCTATAATTGTTTGTTTTTTATTAGTCTGTAAATGATCAGCTGTAAAGTTTTTTATTGGTATGTCAAGTTTTTACTAGTATGTCAAATTTTTCACTGGTATACAAAGATCTGCTGTTAAGGACCTCTTTAAAGTCCTAAGAGCAAGGATGTCACTTCATAAACTAAAGTGCATCTGGCTCAAACTATGGTATTTTAAGTCACCTCATAAACTTGTGCAAGTTGGACAATGAATAAGGAAGACTGAAGAAGAAATGATGCCTTTGAACTGTGGTGCTGGAGAAGAATATTGACTCTGCTATAGACTGCCAAAAAAACAAGCAAGTCTGTGTTTTAAGAAGTACAGCCAGGGTGCTCCTTAGAGGCAAGGATGTCTCATACACTTAGGGCACGTTGTTGAGGGGCCGGTTTTTGGAAGGGGATATATATTGTTCTTGGAAAGGTGGCGAGGTAGTGAAGGCAAGGAAGATCCTCAACAACATGGATTTGATGCAGTGATTGCAATAATCGTAGAGATTGTGAAGCTGTACAAGATTTAGACTATGAGTTGACTCTAGAGTCAGTTCAATGGCCCCTAACACAGGGATGATTTATTATTTAGATGATTTATGTCTCATATTAACAAATTCCACAAAACTTAGATTTTAGCCTAATCACCCTCAAGACTCTACTTCTCTTGCCTTTTCCTTTTTTCTTTTCCTTGCTTTTTCCAACCTAAATATATAGTTGTTAACCTTTTTTTTTTTTTTTTTGCCTCTAACCATATAGACTTGACCTGAAAAACTGCTAAAGTTTCACTGGATTAAAAGGTTTAAAAAAAAAAAGTCTTGACATTATCAACTAAGCAAAGCAATTAGCACACTGATCATAAAATCAATCCAAGCTTTTGTTGACATGTGTTTCTTTCCCCCATATACCAGGTTCCCACTTTATATTAGTAAGACTGAAATTGAAATATGTCTGTTGCTGGTGGATTAATTTGTCACTTTCCTTGAAACTGGTGAGCCCCAAAGAAGTTAGACAGTGATAGGAAAATACTGCCATTGTCTGTTGAGAAGTCTATGACATTTCAAGGCAAGAATGAATATATGGAAGAAGAAACTTGTTTCTTCTTTACTAACAAAAAGGAAAGCCTGGAAGTGAATGATAGGGGTACAACTGAGAAAAGAAAAAAAAAAAAAACCTTTACGTAACTTTTTTGCCAGGAGAGAAGACTACGAAGCACATTTTCCAGGAAGTGTGGGCTGCAACGATTGTGCGCTCTTAACTAATCCTGAGTAAGGTGGCTACTTTGACAGTCTTCTCATGCTGCCTCTGCCACCTTCTCGACCAGAAGATACCGTTTCAACTCTAACCAAGCATGATCGAAACTTATAGCCAACCTTCTCCCCGGTCTGTGGCCACTGGACCTCCTGCCAGTATGAAAATTTTTATGTATTTACTTACTATTTTTCTGATCACCCATATGATTGGGTCAGCTCTTTTTGCTGTCTATCTTCACAGAAGGTTGGACAAGGTAAGATGGGGTTCTTGTTGATTTGCTGTTGGTTGATTTCAGCTCTATCCAAATGATGAACAATGGTATAAATCCAAATATATGATTGTCTTATGGCATAATAGCACTTATTGGTAGTACTCTGTGTCCTTGCTTCTAGTGAAGAGCTTGGACTCTGGACGCAGGCTGCCTAGGTTCAAATATTATATCTGTTCCTACCAGCTCTGTGGTCCTGGACAGGTTACGTTGCACTTCTGTGCCTCAGTTTCCATATCTGAAAAATAGAAATGATAATGGTGCAGGCATTGCACCAAGTCAGTCCGACACAGGGGCTAGTTCTAAGTGTTTGCTAAAATTTTACTTTTTAAAGGGAATTAACCTTTTTTCAGAAATGCAACTTTTTTTTCTTTTAAATGTCTGATTAAGGAAGGATACGTGAATTTAATCTGAAGTTTGCTGGCATTTCAAATTAGCACTGGCATGAGCCAGTCTTAGAATTTGTAGTCTCTTAGGAACAGTGACTTTTCTCTGTATAACTCTTCAAATATTGCAAATAATCTACTTAGTTGGCTCAGCAATCCTAGAAGAGATTACCTTTAGGATTTTTCCTGTTTCCACATGCTTGTCCAAACCTATTGAAAAGCGTTTTGGCTCTGTTGACAGAATATCAGTTATAGCTACACAGGAGACATTTGATCGATTATCAACTACACGGACAACTCTGGATAGGCAGCATTTATAGGTTGGTGCATTTTCTCTGGGATGTTTCAGTAAGCTGTATTAGGATTTTAAAAGAAAGATTGTCATCAAGTCAAATTCCAACTCATAGCAACCTTCTAGCACAGCATAGAATAACTACATTGAGTTTCTAAGGCTGTAAGTCTCTATAGAAGTGGACCGCATGTCCTATGTCAGCAGGGCTCATTCCACACTAACGGAACTATCCAAAGCTTATGGCAGGGGAGGTCATTCTGACTCATGGTGGGTGACACTACAGGGCCGAGTATGACAAAGTGATCTTTATGGCAGTAGACTGGCACATCTTTCTCCCTAGGAATGGCTGATGGATTTGAACCAGCAACCCTTCAGTTTGCAGCTGAGCACTTAACTACGGTGCCATCAGGGTCCCTTTAGACTGAGATACAAATCTAGAAATAAGGCCATGAGGTTTCCCATCAGGATGAAGTGAGGCTGTGAGGGTTGAGGTAATTCACTGGGTTGCTCAGATTTTGAGTTTCATAGGTGAGAAGAAAAGGAAGGGCTTTGGGGGGGGCTTAAGGTTTGATTGTTTACTTGTTTGCTTTGACCTGATGGTCTCTGCCAATCAAATGCCTAAATACCAGCCTAGCCTCTAAAGATGAAATATCGGCTGGACGAGACAAATTTACTGTAACATTTGGATGTGCTTTTGGAGCGTGAAAGCTGTTGGCTAACTGCATCTTGCTTTGAGTCTAAAAATCTAACATGAAAGCAGTACAGAATTCATTGATAATACAAAGTTAATTCCATAGACTTTTTTTATTTTTGCAAGACTCTGCTAACTTTGGGGATAATAGAGGACTTCTTTTTAAAATCCCAAGCATGATCTGTACATACTAAGAGAGATGCAGTTAGAACCTGAATTCGTTGACAAACATTGCAAATGAGTGTACACAAAGACACTACCTCACAGGCACCAAAGTGGATGAGTTAGCTTGGCAGAGTGTTTTTACAGCCTGAAACTATAATGGTCAATCCTTCCTGGAAAACTGGAAGGTAGGGTAAAGGATAAAATATGACTGAGGGAGCGCTGGGGCATGGTCACGTCTCTGGCAATTGGAATCCACTAGCTGCTTTGAAATAGAAGGATGGACAATCTCCTCCTGTGTGATTTTCAGTCTTCTAAAACACACTAAAGGGTCATCTATGAGTCGGTTCTGACTCAAAGGCAATGAGGGTTTTGTTTATAGTGAATTGGGATTTAATTTTATTAGAATAACTATGCTCTATGCCTTGAGTTTTAGATAATAGGGCATTTAATTTCTGGCTTTGATAGCTTTTTCAAAGCCACAGATAACAATTATCCAGCATAACTTCTTCTGTCTCATTTATCCACCCTGAAGTTCTCCTATGCCATAGAAGTGAGCCTGGGGGAGACACTGTTGGCTGCATTCACATTCTGAATTGCATTTCTCATATCCCTGTTATTTCACAGTTAGAAGATGAGAGGAATCTTCAGGAAGATATTGTGTTCTTTAAAAAGATACAGAGATGTGTCAAAGGAGAAGGACCTTTATCCTTGCTGAAATGTGAGGAAATAAAAAACCAGTTCAAAGAACTCATCAAGGTAAGGAGCTCAGTTGTCGGTCAAAAGTGTCTACTGCATTTGCTAGACAGAGAAGCTGACCCGTGGCCATGTGAAAGTTAAAAACATTTGGGCTGTATATGTGTTATATGTGTGTGTAAAAAGCCAAAATGAGGATGGGAAAAGTTAAGAGAGATTCAGTGCAGATCTGAAAAGATGGGGTAATGATGTGCGTGGATCAATGGTGATTAGTTTTATAAGACGCAATGTATGGGAATGATCATATATGAAATACAATGGGAATAAAGGAATGTGTGAAATGCAATATATATGAATGAAACACAAACTATACGCATTTTGGCATACAAGGCAAAATGAAATAATTTTTTTTAAAGCCAAAATATATGCTACAGAGAAAAGGAAAAAATGAAAGCTTACATAGTCCTACTTGATAAATATAAAACATCCTCTGAGGAAAAGGCAGATCTTTGGGGAACCTGGCCACAAGCTGCCTCTGCCTCATCCAAACTTCTTTGCCTTCCCACTGTGGACTCATGTTCTGGTCCCCATTTCCCAAGGAAGCAATAATTGTGGGCCACCACAGCAGGTCCCCAGTTAAGGTATTATCTTTACTGGGACAATGGGGACTCTTAGAACTTTTAAACTTTTCTTTTTCTCTGATAACAAGATTTCAGGTTTCATATAAGTAAGATATTTTCCCCTTCTTATCATGGGAGGGGTGCACGGGATGGGTGGTTGGCCTTCTCAGTTCAGTTCTCATATCAGACCCTACCTGATGCCCCTGGCTTATGAAACCAGTTCCCTCCAGAGCCCACCAGGACCCGAGGCAGAGCAGGTTCCAAGGCTTCTAGCCCAGGAGACTAGTGGCCAGCATGAAGTCACTGCTGTGATTGTAGCTTGTAATTGTACCCAAAACAAGAATTTCGTCGAACGTTTTTCCAAAATTGTATCTACAGTATTTATTGCCTCATCACAGACATGGAGTCTAGGGTTTCTTCAGCCTGAGTTAGAATTTCTGAGAGTTCTTCTTGCCCTTTTCCCTGTCAGAATACAGAATTAATCACTCTCATCCCTCAGCTCCTTTTGTGGTCATATCTAGGAGGTAGTTCTAGAAGTCTCACCTACTTTGGACATGTCAGGAGTCCTTGGAGAAGGACATCATGCTTGGGAGGGTGGAGGGACAGCACAGGAGAAGACGACCCTGGATAAGATGGATTGACATGGTGACTATGGCAATGGCGGCACGTGAGCCAGAGATGCTGAGATTGGCTCAGGATAGAGCAGTGTTCAGCCCTATTGTTCACAGGGTCACTATGAGTCATAGTCATCTCAATGGCACATAACAACAACAACAACAAGGAGGCAGTACTCCATGTTGACAACAGCTCTGGGCTAGGTGGATAGCTGGATAAACAAAGATTCAGTTCCTTCATGTAGATGCTGTACAATTTAACCCAAGAGGGAGGGGCTTATGATCTTATTCCTGAGCTCATTCCTATCTCCCCAGGCAGTCGCTGATACAGAATTTAATCCAGCAGTGACAAATCTATTCCTTAGTCACCTTCGAGAATCAGAATACAGTGCAAATCGGCTGCTGGTTCTCAGGCTCTTCACATCAAGCTAGGTTGCAGAAGACTCCTAAGCAGTGATTTGCCAGGCTTGGCTGGCCAGTGTTGGGAAAGATTTGAGGTTCTGTGATTCTTTCAGCGTTCTGACCAGTATGACCGAGTCTTGAGCTGCATCATAACAAAAACATTGTCAAAAGAGTAGTGATTTACTCTAATCCAAATAGTGTATTGAATACGCATGGCTGAGTGACCTTGGGCAAATGACTTGACCCTTGTGTGGGCTTTGGTTTTTCTCACTGATGAAACAAGAGGGTTGAGATTACCTGTAAGGGCACTACCAGGACTGACATTCTGTAGTTATGCATCTAGCCTTCAGTTCCCTCCCTCCAATGACAGGAAAAGCATTTATTGAGATTTTTTTTTTCCCCCTCCTTGCCTCTTTCTTATTGAGTCTGGCAGCTAAATTGTCAATTCTTCCTGTGTCGATTTCATGTTGGAGATATCAAACTTCCAGAATCAGCTACGCAGTAGGGCTAGAGAAAGAAAAATGTGGTTGTTTTCCCTCCTTAGGCTTGTATGAATAAAGTGAGAGCCCCAGAGTTTCATATTCTACTACACTAGGCCTTCTCAGGTACGTCAGTCAACCTGTGTGATCTCGTCCTTCCATGTGATAAAGGGTGCCCTTTGCAGGTGTGGAACCTCAGGCAATGCCATCTGTACCCATGATGGGCACCATGGTTAGCTACAAAGTCCTCTAACTACCGGGTCCACCTGTCATCACTGACTCCCTTTCCATTATTTAACAGAACTCATTTGGACTGTCTATTTGTTTTACCCAATAGGACATTTATTATTTTTTTTCTATAATTATATTTTATTAATTTTCATAAACATTTACAGGGTCACCTCAGGTAGGATTTTTATTTTCTTGGCAAATGTTAGCAGTGTTTCTTTCCAAGAAATTTAAAATTTTATATTTAGGGTTTCCAATCATAAGACTTGAAGGGAACCTTTGAAATCATCAAATTCAATTCTCAGCCCAGACCTACCAAAGGGTCATTGAATTTAAGACCTCTAGTGAGCTTTGGTCACCTCGTGGTAAGGAACGGTGCTGCAGTCCCAAAGGCAAGCGGTTCGAATCCACCAGTTGCTCCACTGGATGGGTAATCACCTCCCATGTGATTATCTGCCTCTGAAAACCCGCTGGAGGGTCAGCTATGTGTCAGTTCCAACTTAATGGTACTTAACAACAATGACAAGAAAGGCAGCTCTGGTGGTCTAGTCTCTGGATAGTTGCACTGCTAACCTAAAGCAGCCAATTCTAATCTAGCAGTAGCTCCGCGAGAGAAAGGACAGTCTCCTTCCATGCGATTTACAGCCTCTTGAAACCCTGCTGGGAGGTCAGCTGTGAGTTGGCTCTGACAAGATGGCAGTGAGTTTTGAGTGACAAGGAACAGAGGCAGGCAGAGCCAAACTGTCAATCTAAGAGAAGATGAGGCTTGGGGATTATGTCAGGAGACAGGAGACAGCATCGTGTGTAGTACAATTTCATACCATGCTTCACTGTCGGTACCCAGCACCTGTTAACAGCTATCAGCTCTGGGGTCACTTACCTTCCATCCCCTTGAGATGCGGGATGAAAGCAAGTCCATACCTGACACATAGCATTCCTGCTCTTAGATTAGGAATCCCAGATTTTTCCGAGACCAACTTTTAAGTCTTTGAGCTGAGGTGAGGAGTGAAACGAGGGGAATGGGGGCCCTGGGGAGTGGAGTGTGGCTGGGGGGAAGTTTACAAAAAGGCGAAGCGGGGAGCATAAAAGGCAACTTTGCTGACTTCAGGTTTTCATCTTGGCCAGGCCCCGGCACCAGTGCAAACACTGAGCCTAAAAGTATCTCAGCCCCGATCATCACACTCCATTTTTCACAAATACAAGAAATAGTCATTTGTTTACTTATCTGGCAAACATTTTCCTGTCGTCGCATTTTCACAGTGCGCCACTTGAGCTCAAGTGGAAAGTTGAGGCTCTCCGTGGCCCATGTGAGCATTGTTGAGGTGCAGGCCACCCTCCCAGTTCTCGCCTGACCACCCTCTCATCTGGCAGCTGAGCTGAGCCTACAGCAGCACACTCGATAGGAACAAGAGAAATGATTTCGAAGGGAGGAACAGAAAGGAAGACTCCTGGGGGCAGCTGGCCCCAGCAATGAGAAGGAGCGCAAGGACCTGGTTTATCTGAACATTGGGAAATAGCACTGTCTTCTTCCGCCTTTCAGTTTAAAGCGTAGGGTGAGGTTAGCCTAACCACGAGTGTGATCCAGCAATTTCTATTTGAGGCTTCGATCTTGGACTTCTTGGGTGAATTCAATTCTCCAAGTGTCTCCATTTGCTAGGAGTCATCTCCAACTCGGGATGGCCTTCGGTGTGTGTCAGAAGAGAACCGCACAATTTTCAATAACAGCTTTTAGAAGTACATTGCCAGAGCTTTCCTCTGCGGCTCCGTGGGATGGACTCAAACCTTCACCTTTTCGGTTAGCAGCTGAGACCCTTGAGCATGGCGTCACCTCACCCCAGTCAGTAAAGCCCGCCAGGCCTTTGGTTCAGTGTCTTTTAACGGCTGCAAACGCCTTCATTATCTTGTAACCTGTGTTGATGGCAGTCTCTGCTGCTTTTTTCCCCACTTGAATTTTAGTAGGTTTTCTTTTATTTGGCTTTGGGTTTTAAAAAAAATTTTAGTGGTTTGCATACAATCATCTCTGTACATTATGTTTCATACGTGTACTTTGTGTTTTATACAATCATTCATACACATCATGTTTTGTTCATGTGCATTGTGTTTTATGCAATCATTCATATGTATTGCATCTTATATAATTATCATTGATCTAGGACTATTATCACCTCATCTGTTCAAGTCTCCACTGAACCTTTCCCTTCCTTTACCCACCCCCCCCCCATCAATCTCTGCTAGGAGGCTAACTGATGTGTGTGTGTGTGTGTGTGTGTGTGTGTGTGTGTGTGTGTTCAAAAGGAGAAAGGGAAGAGAGAAGGAGGGGCAGAAAAGGGCGAGGGGGAAATAGCCTGCTAACATTTTTACAACTCTCCAAACTTCCTTCACTTGGTAAATGAGAAAAACGGAGTTTCCTAAAGGCTGACTGATTATTATCCTAAATAAATAAAAGCCATTCACAGCAACCAGCTTCTTAAAAAGGACAAGGGCATTTTTAAAATGCCCCAAAGTCTTGTCATAATCTAGAATTTCTCTTCCAAGATCAAACTTACTATTACCTTTTCCTACGAGATTTCAGACCAGTTTTATCCTAACAGAGCACAATGCTCTATGCTTATTAATATTCTATATACCAGTTTCCAGGGTAGAAGCATGCAGTATTATTTGTCAATACCTGTCAAAGTCAGGGTGGTTTAGCCATGAGAGGGCCCAGTATCACAGCTTCTAGCCTGGAGAAGGCACTGGAATAGAGACTTAATATCTCAGATTCTGCTTCTAGCTTCACCCCTGGGCTTTCTGGGCTGTCAGTTCATCTGTCAGAGCCATGGCTTCCCCATCAGTATGATGAAATAAAGGTTAGAATCCAAGTCTATGTACGAAGAAACAGAGTAATGCCAGACACCAAGTGGGAAATGGCTCTCAAAGCCCACAGCAGAGCCCCTTCTCTAATGACCTTTTGCAATGTTTCTTATTTTAGGGCTTAATGCTCCAGGAAGAGAAAAAGGAGGAAGAAAATACTTATGGAATGCAAAAAGGTAAGTTGCTGTTTGCCAATTGCTAGAAGTACTTAAAAATGAAAAAGAAGCTTCTTGTTGTTGCTGTGTCCCATCGAGTTGGAGCCAACCCATAGCTGACCCTCCAGCTTAGGATAGATTATAGCTCTAATCAGAATTAGGCTGATTATATTTGAACAAACCAGTATCGAATTTGGAAACTTTTCACTCTGGAAAGAAAACAGGAAGTCAGTGGTCAAATGGACACCTTCTCTGGTCCCTGTGGTTTTGAAAGCTTCATGTATACACATTTATAAGAAAGGCTTTGCTCCTTGATGCTCACAATACCCAATAGGAAGGGATCCCGTTATTTTTAGTGCCTCAAAGCATCCATATAGCATGATCAAAGAAAGATAAGATGGCAGGAAAACCATCATTTGGTAGCAATGGCATTCATCGCTCAGTGATACTAGTGTCTCATGGGGAACAGTGGCCAAGTGCAGCTTCTGGGGGGAAAAAGAGTGCTTTGATTCGTAGGACAATGTTCTTGACCCTCTTCTTGAACTCATAGAATCTCAAATGTTTCAGAGTGAGAAGAGATCTTGATAGTTCTCAAATCCAACACCATTCCAAGAGCTCAGATGTCCTTCCCAGCAGAACTGACTGCCTGGCCTCCGATTGAACATGTCTAGGGATGCGGCACCTTCCGCTCTGTAAGACAGCCTGACCCATAAGTGGAGAGCTCTAATAATGGTTGTAAGAGTGCCAAACTGCTTAAGAGAATTCTTCTTCGGAACCAAAATGTGCCTGCCCCAAACCTCCACTTGCAGGCCTTTGAAATGGATTCTGTGGACCCAAATCAAACCAATCACCATTTCTCTCCTACAGAGCAACTGTCCAGGTGTTCAAGACCACAGTCATGGACTCTGAGCCTTTTCTTCCTCAGGCTCAACATCTCCAGTGTCTTCCACTGTTCCTCATATGACATTTCCCAGCCCCTTCCTCTTCTAATTGAGTCCATTTCTGAAAATGCCAGTTCTTCCCCCTTCCTCTTAGAATGTATTGCCCTCAGCCAAAACACGCCAATTCCTAAGGTAACCTTCACAACAGAGTATGGAGAAAACGGAGCGGATCAAGGGGGTGTTGATGGAGAGACTGTTATAAAATTAATGAATACGATACTCTAGTTTGGGTAAATTTAGCACACACACACACACATGCATACAGATACTGCTTCTGAGACAAAAAGCTTGCCTTAACTATGGACCTGAATGCTATAGGGTCAACTGATTTCTACATGAAGATTTTATCTTCAAAATGAGTGATACCATATTGTCTGTTCATAGTAGTGAAAGTTGAGGAAATGCTTGATGTGGAGTCATCAATAAAGTAATCACCTTAACTAAATAGGGTATATGATTTGACTCAACATTTATAGGGTACCTACAAAGCTAATTGGGAAGGTGGAGGGGTGGCAAAAGAGAGGAAGACCCTCAACCAGGTGGACCAGCACAGTGACTGCAGCAGTGGACTCACATGTGTCAGAGATTGTGAGGACGGCACAGGATAGGACAGGGCTCAGAGCTGTTGTCCATAGGGTTGCTATGGGTTGTACTCACTCGATTACTTCTGACAGCAACAAGGCTAATTTACTGGAGAGAAAAAAAAGAAACTTCCACATGGCTCTGTCCTTTGGGGATTGGCACACCTAATTAAGGAGCAAGCCTTTTACAAGAGAAATACTTAGAGAAATAGACAAAATTTGACCAGTTATTTGCCTTATTGTGTAGATATGATCCAATAAAACTCCCACTGTACAGAAGTTATTGCTAAAAGCCAAATTAATTATACGTAGAGTGAAAACTAGTGGAATTTTGTTTTACTTATGTCAGTCTGTGCAAAATAGAACTGAGTAATGGACAACTATGAATTCAGTGGAGTCAATGGTGACACCCAATCATTAAAATTTGGTAGGAAACAACTTTTTCCTTGGTAAGAGAAAGGGATTCCAGACCATTGTATTCTCCCTTTCACATCACCTATTCAAAATCCTGAAGAGGAAATGATGTCAATTCAAAGACTGAGATGTGCCAGATTCAAGATTCATCTGAGAGCTGGACAGTGAATAAGGATGACAGAAGAATTGATGCTTGAACTATGGTGTTGGAGAAGGGTACTGAATATTCCATGGACGGCCAAAAGAACAAATAGGCCTATCTTGGAGAAAGTGCAGCCAGAGTGCTCCTTGGAGGCAAGGATGGTGAAGCTTCATTTCCCATACTTTCGGTAGGAGGGGTTATTCCTGAGAGAGGAACATAACATCATGCTTGGAAAAGTGGAGAGTCAGTGAAAGAGAGGAAGACCCTCAACAAGATGTACTGACAAGGTGACTGCAGTAATGGGCTCAAGTGTATGAAAGATGATGAGGATGGCACAGGATAGGACAGAGTTCAGACCTGTTCCTTATAGGGTTGCTGTGAGTTATACTTGACTTGATGCCACATAACAGCAACAACAATTTCACATAAACACAGTCATTCTTACATATTGATAAAGACTGGACCACGTAGTTCTGTGGATCATTTTATAACACTTGGGTCTAAAATCTTGCTTTTTGTTTAGTTACAGGTGATCAGGTGCCTCAAATTGCAGCCCATGTCATAAGTGATGCCAGTGGTAAAACATCATCTGGTAAGTTTCACAGCATTCTATGTGTCAGTCACCCACGGAGGAATGTTGGGGTGCTGAAACAATGCAGTTTAAACTCTTCCTCTGGGGCTCAATATACGTAGACCTCCTGTATGTTCTTCTTTATCTCCAAAGTGAGCTTAAATGCTCAGACGGCACTTGGAGGAATAAAAGGAGGTGGGAAGGAGTCTTCAAATCCCAATTATATTCTTGCTTAATGACTGATCTAAATTATTAATTACTAGGTGGAGGAACCATTATTCTAATAATATCAAATAAGTGGAAGGTACCAACCTCCTAGCTGAAAGCATCCCTTTCCCTAACCTCTTCATACCCATGCGTAACTGGGCCTCAAAGGGCATTTCCTGGCATTTGTCAATCCCTGTATGATTCATTCCAGCCTCCCTGGGGCCAAACTCAGGGAAATTAAAGGTAAACTCATTTGGCAAAGATCAATCAGTTCCAGGGTGGTAGATTTTTCCAATGAAGCAATAACAGACGACATACTATGATCTTTCCAGCTCTAAACAATTTATTTCCATACATGTTCTGACGTCATTCTAGTCCTCTGACTTCTTTCCCCAAATATGTAACTTGCAATAGATAGCTGGTGTTGGAGAAGATATTATACCTGATAAACAGATGGAAACATACACACTAGCAGAAAAATCCTCCATCAACATAGAGGCAGTCCAAGAGCACCTAAAAATTCATTAGCATGGACACAAGACACCACGTCATCCCAGAGGCAGCTCGGACTTTTCAGTGAGTGGAATTTATGCAAGTTCACTCTTAAATGGACTTAAGAGCACTGGATAGGGAGCTCAAGAACCATAGCTACCACTTACTGGACAAACGTCTTTACTTTTACCGTTTCCTGCCTTAGCTACTTTCTTCAAAGAGTTGCTCTGGGCATCATTTCAGCTAATGTGGAAGAAAGTTAAGCTGTCGAGTGTAATTCCAGTGTAAAGTGTCCACCACTTACCTTATTTCACTGTGGTTTATATGTCAAAAGAATAGCATTAATCCCTTTATTGGTATCAGTTATACAAATGGCATTTAATAATCCCAAAGTTTTTCTTCCTCACAAGAAACACTTACGGGAAAATATAATGACTGTATTCGTGTGTACAAGGTGGCTAACCACCTTGGCACCTTTTCATTTGGGTAGGATGACAGCAACAGAGAAATGTCCTAGAAGCACAGCTTCCACTCGTCTTTGTCCACCTGTATGTGAATCTTGTCTTCTTGCTCTGGGATTTCTTTGATGTGGCTCAGTTTTTCCCAACAGGCTCTTGGTTGAGATCAGTCCTAGAGTATTTTTATAGCAAGCATTGTAGTGGATCTGCAGAGGGACAGGGGAGAAGACAGTAACATTCCTCCCCAGCTTCTCCTATCAACCCCAAACTTCTCATTCCCTTCTGGTCACACTGTTACAAACGGAACCTTCCTCTGCCAGCAAGAGCTAAACTTACTGGACTGAAAGACAGGTCTCCTATTCCTTTACCCTCCATCAAATGGTTCAAAAGTGAAAAGTTTGAGAGGGGAAGTGAGAAGTTTGGGGGTTCTTTCTTTCTGTATCAAAGTCATTATGTTAAGCATCCTTTCTGGAGGTGTCTAGAGGCTGGAGGTGTCTAGAGGCTCCCAAAATGTCAAGTATTGCAGGATGCCTCCTGATTCCCAAAGGATGCATCTTAGTAGATAGGATTTTACATATCATGCATGATAAGCCTAAAATCACCAATCGGTAATAAAATATAACTCAAGGAGGCACACCCACATCAGCATATTTTCACTCCTCCCAACCCCCACGCCCATCCCTGCAGACCTCTGTGGGAGCTGAGATTTGAGATTGGGTACACACTACTTTGAACCCACTCATCATCTTAGCCGAGAAAATGGCACACTGCTTGCTGGTGGGTACTCGGCTTAGCCACAAGAACACAGGTACTTTCAAGTTGGGGCGCCCACTACAATGGGAGATCAAAACACACCGTGAAATGACAAGTTTATTTTCATACTTCCTTGCCTAATTTTAGTCCTTGCTGTGGGAGGCAGGTCAGGTTTGCAAGAGCTGAATTGTTAGGAAGAAATGGGGTCTTTCCTTCTCTCTATGCTGAAGCTCAACTAAGAGGGCTGCCAATTCTTTGACTCTGTAAAATCCAAAGGCAATCAAGATGTTCGTTTCTTATTAGCAAGGACTGGGCCTGAATAATCCGGCATGTGTAATTTGTGGTGAGGAATTTTGAAATTACTGATGTTATTCATTCCAAGGACAAATTGACTTCAAGAATTCTGGGTGGGAGCTCTATTCATGGGGCTCCATGCTACTTTATTAATCCTCACCACATGTCTCTGGCACAGGCTTGCTGCAGATAACAAGGACTAATACCTAGGAAGTGCAAATAGTTCAGCGCTTGGCTACTAACCACAGGGCTAGCGATACAAATGCACCCAAAGACACCTCAGAAGAAAGGCCTAGTGATCTGCTTCCCCCCCCAAAAAAAAAACCTAGCCACTAAAAAACCCTACTGAATATATTTCCGCTCTGAAGGACGTGGGTTCACCATGAGTCAGAATCAACTTGAGGGCAACTGGTTCATTTTGGGGTGTTGTTTTGGTGATTTATTGCTTATTTGTTTTTGGAGGTTCTGTATCAATGGAGTACTGTGGCTCATGTAAGTTTACTGACTTGCCCAATCGTGCATGAAGCCTCGAGTGGAACCAGGTTCCACGTTTCCTCTGATTCTCAAACTCACGCTGATTTTCCAGCCGTAGCTCCTCCCTATACCCTAAGTGAGCTCTAGTGCCTTAGTGGAGTTGTGCTGTCAACCCAAAGACAGGTGGGTCGAATCCACCAGCTTTCTCCACAGGAGAAAGATGGACAATCTTCTGCTTTGTAAAAACTGTGAAGGCTCAGCTATGGGTCAGTTCAGAGTCAACAGTAATGAGTTGAATTGTGACTTTACTGGCTAGAAAAGTCTTGACAAATCCCTGATGCCTAGTTTTTCCATCTGTATATGGAGCCCTTGCCCCACACGAACTATAGCGCTTCACTTCACCACATATTTCCCCCTCTTCTCATTACAGTTCTACACTGGGCTGAAAGAGGATATTACACCATGAGCACCAACTTGGTTGAACTCAAATACAAGAAGCAGCTCACTGTGAAAAACCAAGGACTCTATTACATCTATACCCAAGTCACCTTCTGCTCCAATCAGGAGACTTCAGGACAAAAGCCATTTACAGCCAGCCTCTGCCTGCAGTCCCCAGGTGAATCGGAGAGAATCTTACTCAGAGCAGCAAATGCCCCCAGTTCCTCCAAACCTTGCAGTCAACAATCCATCCATTTGGGAGGAGTATTTGAATTGCAATCAGGTGATTCCGTATTTGTCAACGTGACTGATCCCAGCCACGTGAGCCACGGGACTGGCTTCACGTCTTTTGGCTTGCTCAGACTCTGAACAGCAGACCCTCCCAACTGCAGCTGAGCTGACATGGGCAGTCTTCAAAATCCAGCAAAGCAGTTAAGACCAGCCCCTGTCGAACTGCCTATTTATAACCCTAAGAGCCTCCTCGTGGAGAACTATTTATTACACACCCCAAGGCATGTAAGGGCTGTAAAAAGTGAACTATAGGGCAAAGGAAACCAAAACAGGCCCTGCTCCATATGAGCTTATATTTAGAAGCAGAAACTCCACTGGCACAGGCATCCAGAGAGCGACCAGAACAGAGGACCAGCATGCACGGGGCGAATGCTGAGCAAGAGGCAGACAATTTGCCAAGTCTAGTTTTGTTTCTTTTGGGTGCAATACCTCCCAGTGGGCCACTCATTCAATTGATCAGTGGAGAATGTGGAAGGGAAGTGGGGAGAAGCCTCAGCTCACATCCAATTACATTTGACTCTGGGGTGCTGTGGCTCTACTGAGAGAGAAAACCAGGTTCTAGAAAGTCCGACACAATGGAGAACTGAAAAACCTGGTTCTACCACACACTCTGAGACTCAGTCTCTCCATCTCTTTCTCTCACACACACACAGATCCCCAAATCAGGCAGTTGCTAATCCATTGTCTAATCTCAACCCTGTCCTTAACTCTGCCACTGTAGATTGGAGGAGGGGAGGGAAAGCAGCTCTGGGCCTTGCCCACTCCTCATTGTGAAGTGACGCTATTTAAAGGAAACCTATTGTCTCTATCTGCAGTCTCCAATGTGTCCTGAGTGAACTTGTGATTATCTTGTTATTTATTTTTTTTGAATAATAAAGATTTCATAACATTACTGTTGTCATCCAGTACCTAAAGGTCCTGCCTGGGCTACATCAGGGGAAAAGAAACCATCTGGAGGGAACAGTCCAAACTATTGTCAAGTTTTGTAAACTGTTCTCAACCTTGTCACACCACAAAATATCTCGGTAACAGCAAACTCTCTGGAAGACTGCTATAGCCTTTGATGGATGAGGCTGAAGTGTATGCAGTGAACACAATTTGGGTCTTTCCTTCCAGCTTACTCTAGAAAGGTCGCAGAATATTAATATGAGAATCGTTCTGTTTTGATTAATCACAGCTAAATGGGGCTGGAAGAAGAGCCTTAAATAAGAAGCAATAACAAATCTTTTCAATAACTAGCTGTTTTCACCTTTGGTCTGAGGAAACAGAGCTGGGAAAACCAGAGGGGACTATTCCTGGTCAGCTTCAACCCAGGGATTTTTCACCCAGGAAATTCAGAGTAGCTTCTTCATCTTTGCTAGTAGTGTTTCAGTTAAGATAAATGCCACAAATTCATCCCAAAAATGTACCATGGAAATAAGAAGAGTGAGAAGGGAGCTCAAACTCTTGGCCTATTTCCCAGCTCTTCAGTCCCATAGAGAGCCTCATCTTTGCTTGGTTGAGCCGAAATTGTTATTGCGTGCCATTGAGTCATGTGTGTGACTGCACTACCTGAAGCCTGCCCTACCCTGAGCCAGTCTCACTGACTCCAACACACCTAGCCCCAGTACCCCAGTTATTGTGTTAATCCATCTCGGTCGGGGTCTTCCTCTCCTGCGCTATTCCTCTCTACCTTTCCAAGCATGATGTTCTTCTCCAAGGACCAGTCCCTCCTGGCCACATGCCTACGTTCAGCGAGTTTCCTTGACTGTGTACATTCTCCAACGAGCAAACTTTGGTATGAGCAGAGGTGGAATTTGTTGATTCAGAGATTCGTTGGGGATATGTCCGCAGTGCTATCTTGTTTCATTGCAACAAAGATTCTCCCACACATTAACGTCTGCATTGGTGGCTTGAAGGAACTGGGGCAGTGTCCATGGCAGTTGAGGGGGCCATTGGGCATGATGTCCTCACAGGTGCGGGCCTCCATTAGGAAATCATGATCCTTCCTACTGGAGAGGGGTAGACAATCCACAGGCCATGATTGCCCCTCCCTCACAACAGCTTAGTGCTCACTTTGTAACATAGACTTATTTGTGCAGCTTATCTGGAAATAGATGTGACCAAGGGCCAGCGTTCCCTTTAGCAAGGTAATAAGGGAATCTATATCTAATGTGGGTGTATCTTAATCATCTTTATCTACTTACATCTTTCCCTGTTAAAAAAAATAGTATTTTGTTGTGTTTTCAGTGAAAGTTAACACAGCAAATCTGGTTCTTATTTGTCAATTACTACAAAAAAGAGCTCGGGTTGGACTACTTTTAAGAAGCTGTGCTGTAATCTCAAAGACACACATGGTTTGAATCCACCAGCTGCTCCACAGGAGGAGAATGGACCATCTCCTCTCGTGTAACTTTGAAAACCTGCTGGAGGGTCAGCTAGGTGTCAGTTCTGACTCGATGGCACACTCCACCACCACCACCACCACCACAAACTGCTCAGTGACACTGGTTACTTTTCACTTTTCACTATGTGTCAACATTCTCATTAATTCCATTCTGGGAGTTTTGTTTCCAGTAAACTGGTTTCCCTGTCCCTTACCCTTTCATCTTTGCTTTGTTTGATCTCATATAATTTTCAATGGTGTTCACTACTGGACCCATCTGTTATTTAGCTAAAAGATGGCCTCAGGTAGTAGTTTTCATTCAAGCTTTATGGAGTGTGTCAGGCTCATAGTCTCAGGGAATCCTCTAGTCTCAACTGGTCTAGTAAATCTGTATTTTTTTTTTTATTTTACTGAAAGTTTACAGAGACTTAGGGTTTCCATTCATTCATTGTTGCACTTTTCTCCCTGCCAACTCCATCCCCCCCCCTAATTAGCTCTTCTCTTTGAAAAGTAAAAGAAAAATTATTTCATTGTTATACAATCCCTCCCCCCAAGTCCACTCCACTGTGCAGCTTCATTCTGGGCTTCTGTCATGACAATAATTTCTTAACCATATATCCTTTTTAAACAGTTTTCTCCGTCATCTGTTTCAATGCAGTATACATTATTTATCCTCTCTCTCTCAGTCTTCCCTCAACCCCAAGGTCAGTCCCATTTTACAACAGTGGCTCTATGTAATATTTATCCTTTTGTGACTGAAATATTTCACACAGCATAACATCTTCCAGGGTCACCCATTTTGAATAATATTTCATGATGGAGTACTAGACAAAGGGGAGCCCAGATTCTCTTCAACCAAGACACTAAAAAAACAAAAATAGCAGATAAAGAGGATAATTCTGGAACTTTGTATCAAAAAAGAAAAGATAAAGTAGTTCAAACACTAACTAAAGGAATAAGGTCCCCAGAACATCCAATATGGCTACTTACAGAGGACAAAACTGTGAATAGTGGGACAAAACCATTTTGATGACCACAGGGTAGGTATGGGAACTCAGGAGTGTACCAGTGTCCACTCCAACACCTGGGTTATGACAAGAAAGATTCTGTCTCTCCCCTTGTTTCCCATGTCCTTTCAAGTTTCAGGGAAGTGACTTTCTCCACCACCACTTACCACTATTATTCCTTGGCTTGGCCCAGCTTCACTTAAGGCAAGGCCCAAGCCATTTTGTATCCACTGCTATGGGCTTTCACATAGCTCTAAACTCATAGACTCCCTCTGGAAGTCTGTGGATTGTGTTGTACTTGACCTGCAGCAAGCCACTAAATTAGCAGAGGCGTCAACAACTTAACCCAATATCTCCAACAATTAGAAAAAGAAACAGTAAACGAAACCTATAGTCTCCAGAAGAAAGGAAATAATTAAGAATGGAGCAGAAATAACTGAAACCAAAATCAGAAAAGCAATAGAAAGGACCAACAAGACTAGAAGTTAGTTATTTGAAAGGAATACTAAAATTGTGGTGTTTGTTTAAAAGTTGGCCTTTCTGGCCATTACATTAGAGCCCACCAGTCTCCAGCCATCTTAACTGCATCAGATACAAGGTCTTACAAGTCATCAACAGCTATGGAACTAATATAAGAGAGAGAGTTTTCCCACACTGTAGAGTGAAATCCCAGTGACAATGATGGTGGAGAGACTGTGGCATTTCTATAGAGAGATTGTGGCAAGGTGTAACCTGAGGCTTCTTAACTTTGTGCTGGCCACAGTTAAAGGTTTTGCTTTGCTGGATGATTAAAGGAGAAGCTGACTCATATAACTGCTCTGAGGAAAACTTTGCTGGATGATTTGGATTTGTGCTACTGAACTGAACTGGACACTTTGACTAATTGAGAAATTGTGTTTTGCTGTTAATCTGGCTTCAGACGGCTGGGCTAAACATGAACTTGCATTGGGTGATATTATTTGCTGCCCTCATTCACACCAGTAGCAGTGACAAAGTTTAACAGGACAGCAAGCAATAAATGCTGGAGAGGATATGGAGAGATTAGAAATTTCATACATTGTTGGTGGGGTTATAAAATTGTATAATACTCTGGAAGGAAGTTTGGTGCTTTCTCAAAAAGCTGAACATAGAAATTCCATATGACATAGCTATTCCACTGCTAGGAATATACCCCAAGGAAATTAGAATTGAGACAGTGTCTAGAGAACAGCAAGTGGGACATGAGGGCACCAGGCCTTGAGCATCTCTCTGAAAGGGCCAGAGGGAGTGAGGATAAGTATAGGCCCTCACTTCCCCAGAGCAGAAAACAGATAAAGAGCCCATAGCCCAGATGCATGGTGGCTCTAGAGCTACAGAAGCAGCAAGAGGTTGATTTATTCATTGTTGACTCACAGTTGTGGTACTGAGAATGGAGTTTATTAGGTAAGGTGGAGAGTGGGAAAGGCAAAGAATATTACTCAAAATAGTCCAGATTTTAGCTCAAGTTTCAAGGCACAATTCCTCAATTAGTCCAGGCTTTGGTTTTAGTTCAGTAGTTAAATCTGGTTTCAGTCCAGCATGGTTTGTCTCAGAGCAGTTACATGTCAGCTTCTCTTTAATTATCACGCAAGAATAGCAAAACCTTTATGTGTGGCCAGCACAAATGCAAGAAGCCTCTGGTCACACTTTGCCACAGTTTCTCTACAACAATGCCAGATTCTCTCTACCACTATCATCAAGGTCTCACCACCAGGGTCTCGCCCTCAACAGGGTTAAGTCTTGCTTGTCACAAGTCTTCTCCTCAGTGTGGGAAGCACTCTCTCTTATCCTAGTCCCACAACTGTTGATAATTAGCAAGACCATGAAAGTAGCTGGAGATCAGAGGAGACTTACTGTAACAGCTTAAAAAAAAACCAATTTTAAGCTAACACTGTAGACACAGCCAGAGATTTGTACACCAAAATTCATAGCAGCATTATTCACAATTGCAAGAACATGGAACCAGCCCAAATGCCCATCAACAATCTAATGGATTTTAAAAAGTGTGGTACATTCACATGATGGAATACTATACAGCACTCAGGAACAATTTTGAAAAATATGTAACATCCGAGAAACTGGAGAGCATTAGGCTGAGTGAACTCAGTCTCAAAGGACAAATACTTCATAAGACAATTATTGTAAAAACAGAAGGGTGATTAATGAGATGTGAATGAAAATCCAAGTGGAAAAGGGAAGGAACCTCCAGGGCTGAGGATGGGGAGGAGGAATCATGGGATTGCAGAGTTTATTGGGCAGAGGGACAAGGGTGAAGGAATTAAGAAAAATCTAATGGGGACCTGAAAAGATGTTAATGGTGGGCAGAGATCAATGGTGATTAATTTTATAAAACATAACGTATAGGAACGATCATATGAAACACAATGTGAATGAAGGAATGTGTGAAATGCAATGTACATGAATTTTGTAAGCAAACCAAAATAAAATTTTTAAAATATGATCATGGATTCTACAGGCAGACAATGTATGCATTCAAATTCCAAGACCTTCACTTAGTGAAGAGCTCTGGTGGTATAGTCAGTCCATAGGGAGCTGCACTGCAAAAGCAGTGCAATTCTGGCTGTTCAAATCCACCAGCAGCTCTGCCTAAGAAACATGGGCAGCAGCCCACAGAGCTCTGGTAGTATAGTGGGTTACATGTTGTGCTGCTAACCAAAAGGTTGGTGGTTCATATCTGCCATCTGGAAACATAAGCAATCTCTTCCTGTGCCATTTATAGCCTCTGAAAACCTGCAGAAGGATCAGATATAAGTCAGTTCCAACTCAATGGCAATTAATTTGAGGGACTTGGGGGTTTTGTCACTTGATTAACAAGTCATTCAACATTTCTGTGTCTCTGCACATTTGTAAATGGTAACAAACAATAGTGCATAACAACTTCATAGGAGTTGTTGGGAGGATTACATGCTCTTAACCATGTAAACCACCTCGTGTGATATCTAGTCCAAGGAAGACGGGATGCCCTATTTATTGATTCAGGGCAGAAGGTGAAACCAATGAAACTCTCTCAGGCTGGAGAAGTGAAGTCAGGGAGCTGCCACTCAATTATTGATTTCAGTATCATCTCACTATAGTTGTTATCCAAATGTCAGGAAACTTCTGCTGCCGTCACCATCACCAACGAAACAACTACATCCCCTCACCTACAAAGTGGTGACGTGACACATAGAAACAGAGTACAGATCTCATGTCTTTGGAACTTTTCTGCAAGCCACCAAGTTCCAGGAAGATAGTCTCTGCCTGATTCAAGCTTTTCAAACTTTATGTGTATCCTATTGTTAGAGCTATACCAGAGTCCAGGATATATGGAATACTAGCTGCAAGGGAGACTAAAAGAAAAAATATGGAATGTATATAGGATCCTAGCTGCAAGAAGCTCTGGAACAAATATGTTTCAGCTTTTTAGGAAGGGGAAATAAAGGGATAGGAATGGAAGCTGAGTAGCAGCACACAATATCCAGTTTATCTACCTTGAAGTAATGTTCATTTTATCATCTTAACCACTGAACTAGCAATTGTAATTGGTCAAAATATAGGATATCACTCATTGACAAAACCCTGCAAAATAAAGAGGGATAAGGCCAAAATGGGGTGGGGATGAAACAACCCCAAAACCAAGAGAGGTAAACTTGTGGAGGGAATGGATGTATCTTTCCCTAACCGTGGCACAAAACAGTGAGAAGGGATGCAGACTGAAGTCAGGGATCAAGGAGGTGGAGAAGTAAAGAGAGATTCGGTCTCATGGTGGCTTCTATTTTCTCTCTAAAGTAGAGAGCAAATGTTGCTGCTTGAGTGAAAAGGGTACAGGGCGACTAAGGAGCCTAAGGAGAAAGAACTCGTCAATGAGGAAAATGGGGCAGGACAATGACCCTACTCAAGAAATCTCTGCACAAAGGCTAGTGAACGAAAGAAACAAAGCTCTTATTTTATAAAGCATTGTTATTGTTGTTTATTGAAAATGTCCATTTGAAAAGTCTTCAAAATAAAAACAAGTTAGAAAAATTGAGCTTGTGTAACAAGGGGCATAACAGAAGAGGAACTGAAAGACCTTTAAGGGCAGCAGTTTAATTACAGGGTAATGGGGACCCATTGACAGAATATTGTAAACAACACAATTATGGAGACACTGCTCTCAGAATTAACATGGCTTCATTTCCTTTATATTATTGTTTAGTGTGTGAGCACATGACACCACTCTGTACCAAAAGACTCCCATCAGGAAGGCAAAGTCCCAATACATGCATAAGTACACATCACTTTGAGAGAAAGACCTTTCACTACTTGAAGGAATCCTATACCTTATCAACTAAAGTCTTTTGCAATCACAAAAATGTTTCCTATAGATAGAGTTGGTGTATTTACTATAAGCCGTTGACTAACCACATACAGAGCATTCTAAGATATGATTGTTGGTGGTTTAAAATTTTAGTCTGAGGGCATCATATCTAAACTGCTGTGCTAAAAGACAAAACAGGTCATTCCTAGAAACCACCCTCATTCTAAAGCTTCCAAAAATAGCTGGGTGTGGTCGGTTGATGTTGGGCTGTGGAAATCGTTTGCTTCCTACGGAAGATGTCATTTCTACCATGCAGCCAGCAGACACCAATCCACACTACGTAGCTATGGGATTATGAGATCCCAGTTTCAGAAAGAAAATGGGCTGCTTCTGCAAGCTGAGAGCTTCAAGCTTCAAATTTGGCTTCCCAATATTTACTATTTGCAGGTACCCATCAAATATGCCCGGGAGACAATTTTGATTGGTCCGTTGACTCTTTAGCTCTCTTTCCAGTGGTCCTCCCCACTGGCCACATTTTACTTGTCCTTGGGGGCAAGAGGGTCTGCTCTTGCCTAGAACCTAGGAAAGATGCTCAAATGTGTTGAATTTGGATATGTGTTGCCCTCTGGGACTCTCTTCAGAACCTGGCTTCTCACAATTGTAATTTCTGGGAGACTTCTAAAGATACTAATTTGATAATCAGTTCCACTAGTAACTAGCACCCAGCTCTTAGAGGGGCCCTTTCTTTCTGGCTATACAAAACTGGACCATCTACACAATGCTGCAAAGAATGCTCAGCACCCTACTCAAAGAGGTCAAGGAATAGTACAACTTCTCACAGCATATACAGTAGAGCAATAAAGTGGACGAATGTTGTCTCCTAGGACACAAAACTCTTCAATGCAGAGTGCTCTCAAGGATGAAAAGTCACAGTTTGAATGTGCAAAGTAGAGAAAGTAACTGCTCATAGTCTATGATTTTTGAGAAATACACACATACCAGGTTTACACACTGCTAGGTACAATTGACTAAAAGCACTGGGAAGTACAAAACATACACTCTAGTCAGAAGAATAAGAAAAGAAAGCCCATCATGCAGTAGGAGGGGGTGGTCAACTCTGCTGCCAAGGGAAACATTGTTCAGTGCAATTCACTACTGGATTTGGTGTTGGCATAAATGACCACAGTTTCTGCCCCACTGAGTTAAAATGTAAGCCAACAAAACAGGAATAAGGAAACTGTTGTTTTCTTAGTCTTACAGACAACATAGGGCAGTAGTCATAAAAAGATGTGCACTGAGGGGTGGCACGTGAGGGACTAAAGGACAATGGGATCATTCAGGCAAACGCGTTAGTTTTTCATCCTTTTCTAGTCATAGCCCAGAACACTTTGCTTTCAACACATTAGGTACTGAGAGGATTCCAGGTACAGGGAAGTTTTACAGGAAAACTCGGTTTCATGCTTAACCAACCACAGATGACCAGCCACTTTGGGACAGCAGCTGCCCAACAAGAAGGACCTGAGGACAATGGCTTTGCAGAGGCACTGTGACCTGAAGGCCATCTGAAGACCATTTGAAATCATTGGCCTGCATTCGTTTTTCTTCTTTTTGAATGGAAAAGACTCTGGGGAGACTTCCACCACTATCTCTTGGGTTTTCCCCCCTTTCTTTGTAACAATCAACTAATAGCCAAACAATAACAAACACCCAAGCAAAGATACCACACACACACATTCAGAGAAAGAACAGAGGAAGAGAGAAACTAGGGAGTGGTACAGGGAGCGAGAGAGGCCCAAATAAAAATAAAAACCAAAGAAGTGAGCAAACGAAGTCTAATCACTCAGCTAGACATCTCTAGAAGCCCTGAAGGGACTCTGTCCAGCTGCACAGTGAGGCTTATGGAAGAACAGAAGCCTTGCTACCAGATTCAGACCGAATACACTCGTCCGTTTGCTTCAGCAATCTCCGGACCAGCTTCTCGAGGTCTCTTCTTGACTTCAGTTCTTCCTCCAGGCATTGCTTCATTCTTTTATTCTCCTGCAATGCAAAAAGACTCATCAGTTGCCAAACATCACGAGACCTACCTTCCCGGGGCTCATCTTGCTCATCCTGTTTCTGCGTCAAACTGTTCCTCTCTCACTTTTCAAGGCAAGTCAGTCTCCTGTTTCTCTGTCCACCACTTCCACAATCATTTTTTTGCTTTGATTAGCATTTTTTCCATAAAATTTTTATTTCCACAACCTTTTTTAATGAAATGCAGACATTCTCCAAGAGTCTAGCTTCTGCTCTCTTCCTTTTAAACAGTCTCTTCACTTGTTGTCTTTTCCGTATTTGTCCCTTTGTGACTGATTTATTATACTCAAAATGATATTCTCTTCTTTTTTCTTAAATTTGGTTGAAAGAATACAAATCATGTTGGGATTTCTCCCCCTCCCCCCCATAATATGATTTTTTAAAATTTATTTTATTTGAATGAAAGTTTACAAAGCATATCAATTTTTTTCTACTCAATCATCTGTGCCCATTTTGCTCCATAATAGTGATTAAAATGCCCAGTGTCTGATTGTTCATTCATTCCATATTATCTTTCTCTTCACCCTCATATCATTCACATCTCATATCACTAAGTATTCATTATCTATTAATTCATTTTCTACGACCCTTCCCCTTCCCCTCCATGGTAAACATTCTAGTATGATTCTCTCTTTCCTAGGGTTTTTTTTTTAATGATCTTATAAAACACTTGTCCTAATGAGATTAATCAGAACTGGCTTTGACAAGCACTATGGCAATTGGACAATTAAAACAGACTTTCAAGGGGGGAAAAATAAAAGAATGACGAACTGGGGAGGAGGGTATAGAAAATAGTGCAACAATGAGTGAATGAAAACCCAAAATCTCTGTAAATGTTCATTAAAATAAATTTTTTTATTCTAGTGAGAGTTTATTGTATTTTATTTTTATTAAGACATGGATATTCAAGATACCTACAACATAAGAACATATTAAAGAATAATTACAAAGCAAACACATATCTTAAAATGACCCAGCTAAAGAAATAAAATATTACCAGTTTCTAATTAGTCCCTCATGTGGCTTTTTTTAATTAATAAAATTTAATAATTAAAAAAAACCTTGTCCTTTTGTGACTGACTCATTCGTTACGTAATGTTTCACAAATTCTTCATTGCTTTTCAATGTTTATAGTATGTATCCATTGTGTGAATTTACCATAGTTCCTCCATTCATTCATTAATGGGCACTTGAGTTGTTTCTAAGTCGTAACAATTTTGAATAATGCTGCAATAAACATGAGTGGGCATCTATCTGTTCATGTTTCATATTTCTTTGTAATTCAATCATTCATATGCATTTTGTTTTAGAACAGTAATTACAATTGAGTCATATAACTAATTAATTATACTGTCTGATTGATCCTTTATTGTCTGTTGCCTTTCTCTTTACTCAACTATTTACTAATTTTTTTTGTTCTTCCCTTCCCCTCCCTTCTGATCCCAGGTAACCATCTAAGATTGATTCTCTCAGTGTGTAAATCTTTCCTTAGCTTTTTATACTACTGGTCTTATACTATAATATAAACTCTCTTCTGATTTTTTTTTATTAACAGGTTTTCTTTTAACTGTGATTTTGACAAAAGTTTACAAGAAAAAATGGACTTTCATTCATCAATTGTTATACCTTTTGTGATTTTTTCGCTTTGAATAATTTCTTCTAGATACATCTATGTTGTGCAGTTTTCCTTATTTTATCTTGGGCTTTTTTTTTCTAGTTTCTTTAGCCATTCGCCTGGGGATGGACATTCAGGTCATTTTCATATCTGTCTATTGTAAATAATGCTGCAGTGAACATAGGTATGCATCTGTTTCTACGGCACCTCTTATTTCTTTAGGATATATACCTAGTGATGGAATTGCTTAATCAAATATTTTTATTCCAACTTTCTAAGGAATTGTCAAGTTCTTTTCTATATCATGATTTGGGTCAAGTTCACCGCAGTCTTTAAACAAATATCCTGCTCTTAAACACTTTAAAGAAATCCTTGGCAGCTGATTCACCTAATGCAATTCTTCTATTTCTTGACTGCTATTACGTTACTGTGAGTGTTAATTGTGGTTTAAGTAAACAGAAATTATTGAAAACGTTAATCTTTTCCTTATCCATCATAGTGTTGTCTACTGGTTCAGTTGTGAAGATTTTCTTTATGTTGCGCTGCAATCCAAACCAAGGCTATGGCTTTGAGCTTCATCAGGAAATGCTTCAAACTCTTTTTATTTTCTGCAAACTAGGTTGCGTCATCTGTGTATCACATGTTGTTGATGAGTCTTCTTCCAATCCTGATGACACATTCTTCTTCATAAAGAAGAATGATTCATGATGAATTCGCTCAGCATACATATTGAATGAGTATGGAGAAAATATAAAACCCTTCCTGATTTTAAACCATATAATGTTCCCTTGTTCTGTTCAAACAGCTCTGTCCCATAAAATCTATATATAGGTTTCTGGGTTTCCAATTCTGTGCAATGTTATGCATACTTTATCATGATCCACGGAGTTAAATATTTTGTATAGTAAATAAAGTATAAGCAAACATCTTTCTGGTATTCTCTGCTTTCAGCAAAGATCCATCTGACATCAGCAATGATATCCTTCATTCCAAGGTCTTTTCTGAATCCAGCTTGGATTTCTAGATGTCCCCTATGGATTTACTGTTCCAGCCTTTTAAAAATAATGTTCAGCAAGATTTTACTTGGATAAGATATTGATATTATTCAATAATTTCCATAATCTGTTGGATCATAGTTCTTTGGAATAGGAACAAATATGGATCCCTTCCAGTTAGTTGGCCAGGCAGCCATCTTCCAAATTTCTTGGCATAGACTAGTGAGCAAGTCCAGTGCTGCATCTATTTGCTGAAAGACCTCAACTAGTAGTCCTTCAACTATAGGGGCCTTATTTTTCCCAAAACCTTGAGCACATCTTGGACTTCTTCCTCCATTACTATTGGTTCTTGATCGTATGCTACGTTTTGAAATGGTTCCAAATGTGATCAAGTCTTTTTGGTACATACAGTAACTCTGTGGACTTCTTTCATCTTCTCTTGATGCTCATAGAATATTTCAGTATCACAACCTGAGATTCAGATTTTGTTCTTTTTCTTTTTCCGTTCTTACAGCTTGAGAAATGCCAAGTGTGTTCTTCCCTTTCGATTTTCTAACTCTAAGTCTCTGCCTATATATTTTAATACTTCACTTTGTCTTCTTAAGCTGCCTTTTTGAAATCTTCTGTTCAGCTCATTTTTTTCATCATCCCTGCCTTTTGCTTTAGCTTCTCTACATTGAAGAGCAAGTTTCAGAGTCTTTTCTGACACCCATTTTGGTTTGGGTTTTTTTCCCTTATTGGTCTCCTTAGTGACTTTGCTTTCTTCATGCATGATGTCCTTGACGTCCTTTTAGAACTCACCTGATCTTTACCAGTGCATCACATCTTTGCTAGACGTGGCTTGTAAATTCATGTGGCACAAACGCAAGGTTGTATTTTGGCTTTCCTGAGCTTATTTTCATTTTCTTCAGCTACAGTTTGAACTTGCTTATGAGTAATTGATGGTTGGTTCCACAGTCAATCCCTGGCCTTGTTTTGCGGGGCTCAACCATCTCTTTCCACAGAATTAGTCAAGCTAATTCCTGTGTAGTCCATCGGGTTGTGGTTTTTAAGGTATTAGTAGTGAAACCAGGCTGCTCCTTGGAGGCAAGGATTCTTGGACATGTTGCAAGGAGGGACCAGTCCTTGGAGAGGGTTATCATGCTTGGGAGGGTGGAGGGACGGCGCAGGAGAGAAAGACCCTCTATGAGGTGGATTGATTCAGTGACTGGGGTAATGGGAGAGTAGGTGTGTCGGAGACAATAAGTTTGGCTCAGGATAGAGCAGGGTTTAGGGCTGTTGTACGTGGGGTCGCAAGCAACTTGACAGCATATAACGACAACATTAGCAAGTAACAAATTACTGACTGTACAAAATTCTATCATGTTATCTCCAGTTTCATTTCTGTTGCTATAGCCACAGTTCCCAACCACTAATCCTTCTTTGTTTCCAATGTTTGTATTTCTGTCGCCAATTACTATTACTGTGTCTTGACTGCATGCACGATCAATTTCATATCGAAAATCAGTAGAAAGTCTTCATGTTTCACTTCAATGACTGGTGCTCTCATTTGAATAAGAGTTGTATCAGTGAGGTGATCTCAGTCTTGCCCCATGAGTGAAGCTGCTCAGGTGTATGTGTGACTGGATCCTGCACTCTCTGTCCTGTTGTCAGTCAGCTGCTAATGTGGATACCGCCAGAATCTTGGGTTTTCATGCCCACCATGCTGTGCTGCCTAAGGTTCCGTGCTTCATCTGTCTCCTTATTTTTTTTTCTTTATGTGATTTTTCTGCAAACAGGTTGTAGGTGTTCGTTTGGGGTTTTTTCCCCCCTTGTGTACCATCAAATCGGGTCCAACTGGCACAGGAGGAGATTGCCCTTCGTTCTCCAGCAGAGCATCTGGTGGATTCAAACTGGTGCCTTTGGGATTGCAGTGCAGCTTCTTGCCACTAGGCCACCAGAGTGTCCTTCTGTCTCCTTAGTTTAAGCATGAACTCTCCAGCAGTGTTTGAACTCTTTCTTTCTTTCTCTCTCTCTCTCTCTCTCTCTCTCTCTCTCTCTCTCTTTTTTACTTAGGATTTAATTTTTGGCCCTATCTGCTATTTCTTTTTTTTCTTTTCTGGTGTTTTAACTGATGAAAGTCTAGGCCACCATCTGTTACCTGGAAGTCTCAGTACAATGTTGTCAAAGTTATACCAGTGCTGTAGCATAGATCAAGACCACATTTCTCTGCATGGCTGAGTAATATTCCATTGTGTGTTATATATTATTTCCTTTATCTATTCATCTATTGATGGATTTGAAGCTTTCTTAATCACAATATCACATCACACTCTTCAATAGGTTCTAACCTAGAAATGTGTTTTCCTTAGATTTGTTCTCTTCCTCCACAGCCCTATTGGCACTATCCTAGTTTAAGACCCTGTGATGCTTCAACCTCAGTTGAAGACAGCCTCTAAGTACTCTTCCAGTCTCTGATCTCTCTCTCCTCCAATCCATCTTTGACACTGCCACCACCAGGTGCAATTTGTCCACAATCACACTGAGAGACAAGTTTTCCATCAGATCCTTGATCAAGTCCCATCTCGAGAGGAGCCCACTTATACTGACACAACCAAAAATGACTTCTCTCTTCTTAAATCCCATTTGTAAATGTTTGGGAACATGAAAGTCATAACTAAGCTTGAAACTCTAATTGCAAACTGCTAAGTAGGCATGTAAACCAACCAAAAAGAACTTTAAACCAAGGCCATCCACTTCAAATCAACAAAAACCACCTTGATATAGAAAGAAAAGAAAAATCCTCACCTTACCATTTTCCTTCTAGACCTTTCCTGACAGCAGCTACCAGCAAGAAAGAGAGCACGGTTCTGTTACAGTCTGAGAGAATGACTTTCATATTTCATTACCTGTTTCAGTTCCTTGACCTCATCCTTCAAAGCATAAACAGTATCGACAAGGCTCCTAGAACACAAAGATAAAATTCCGAGATAGATTATTGGCACTGAAGAAGTCCTACGTAACACTGCACGCATGTATAAAAGTACAAGTTCTGAAAAGCTGTAGTTCCTTGGGAGGAACACTGCTCTGAATGGTCCCAGTAGTTTTGTTTACATCAGTTAGTGACAATGTCCCACATGTGCATTCAAACAGCATGCCATACCTTTCCCATGCTGCTTCTTTGCCACTCCCTTACCAGCACAAATGACTACACATTAGGAGGGCAGGACCCATAGAAGGCTTAGGGTTCTCTGGGGAAGTAATGAGCATGAGCTCATGTGTTGTGAGAAGTACCGCAAGGCCAAAGCCACTCTACAGCATTTGTACTGTGGCTTTGTCTCCTCATCTACAGAACTCTGTTGTTGTTGACGGTGTTGTGTGCTGTCAGGTTGATCTCCAGTTATAGCAACCCTGTAGGACAGAGTAGAACTGCTTCCCAGGCTATCATTTTGACCACAGCAGACTGTGTCCTCTTCCTACCAAAGAACAGCTAATGGCTTTGAACCTTTTCGTTAGCAGCCCAGTGTTAACCATTGCACCACCAGGGCTCCTGTACAAAACACTCTGTGGCACAGAGTCAAATACTGTTTCTCAACAACCCCTCCTGAAATGTATAAATATTATCTGACAAAGGACGAAGCAACCTACTAGAATGGCTTTTCACACTCTGGCTGTTACTTCAGACAAGGAGGCTGAGATCAAAGTTCTACACTGGATTCCATCACTTACTAGACCTTTAATCTTAGAGAACCAGCTTTCTCTCAACTCCTTTAGCCAGTTTCTTTACATACACAATGTAAAGAATATCACATTCCTTACAAATCTCACAGCACCATTGTAGGAATTAATACAGCTACAATAATCCTCACGACAAGGTGGCATAATCACTCATTGAGTGACTACCAGATGCTAGCTTTTATATTTAATATCCCCTTTAACCTCAGAACAATCACAACCCTATTATTATCATCCTCATTTTATAGATAAGAAAACTGAGGCACAGAACCATAAGAAGGTTTTCACTTCAGGCCGCGCAGATTGTGACAGGTTAAGTTGGGAGTCGGCCAGGACTATTTTTTTCTGGAACATCAGTTCATACCACTTCATACACCAGAGCTGAAAATACATCGACAATGCCAAGCACTTTGAAATATGCTGTCCTATGCAAATTCAAGGCTTGACTTCAGAAATGACTCAAGTTTAAACAAATGAATTGTTGGGCTACTTTGTATTTATTCTATGAGCCACAAGGTACTCAGCCTGGTTTTTCCCCATTAAGTCACACTTACTAGTGTACAAAGGTAGGCTAGAGACACAATTTCCCTGAACCTCAATTTCCTCATCTGTAATCTGTCACAGTGATGAGAGTAATGTCTCACTGGATTGCTGTAAGATTTGAAACATGGTTAAGTGTATGGAAGTTGTATCTAATTCCATAAATATAAAAGGAAGCCCTTTAGACTGTGAAATCAGTGCTGTGGGTGGCCCTTTGAGGCAGCTCCTATACCCAGCCACAGACACAAAGAAAACCAAACAAGCAAAAACCAAAAAAAAAAAAGTTTCCATGGATCCAACTGTGCTCCATAGAGCTGTTATGGCCGTGACCTTTTGAAAACAAATCACAGGGCCTTTCTTCAAAAAAACCTGAGTGGATTTGAACCGTGAACCTTTTGGTTCATAGGCCAGTGCTTAATAGTTAGTGTCATCCAGGGCCTGCCTCTTAAACTGATCCAGAGGACCAATGTTCTCATGCAGTATACATAAATCCCCTTGCTGTACAGGACAGTTAGCTCCAACTGCCATCACACTGAGGCATTCTGGAATGTTCTGAGGCTTCTGCCTCAGCCTCTCCCTTCCTCTTGGTGGTGGCAGACTTTCCAAAGTTACCAACTGCATGCTTATGAAAAAGGGCCCCATTCCCAGATGAGGTCTTTCAGGGCCAGTTTTACAAGATGGAGCTTCCCTGCCCCGTTAGAATTCCCTTCCCGGTCTCCAGACAAGCCAGGAAAGGATGAGCTCACGCTACTCACTTTTCTTCAGTGATTGTCTGGCCATTACTTCTGGTTTCTTCGATGATGAGTTTCTCTTCCTCAGGGAGTAATACTTGTGGAACAGAATCTTTGCGAGTACCTACAGACAAGGTTTACAAGAGGGAGGAGAGAGCAGCGTTACTAATGAAGTCTATTTATAGGTGTTAGTTCCTTTCTGGTACTGTTATTGCTGGACCTTGGTTGGGAACATGGTGCTACCATGCACCCAGAGGGGAGTGCCTCAATGTTTGCTCACTGCATCTTCCAGACACACAAAAAAATTCTACATGTCCACATGAATTGATTCAATGGCAAGGAATGGGGACAGGACGACATTTTGTACTTAGAGACACAGTGTGAAAGTGGTGCTACTCGTCCACAACCAGGACACTGATACTTGCTGCTTTGTGTCTCCCAATGCAAGGAGCTGGGTGGTGCGAATGGTCAAAGCACAGCTGCTAACAGAAAGGCTGCAGGGTTGAGTTCTCCCAGAGTTTACCTCGGAAGAAAGGCCTATCCGCCACTGGCAACCCTCAGGAGAGCAGTTCTACTCTGTCACACATGAGGTCACTGTGACTTGGCCTCGATTACAGGACAGCTGCTGACTCTGGAATGTACTGCATCACGCTCTAACCTATGGCATTAAGTGATTTTAGGAAAACTCATGTCTACTGCAGCACTGCTCAGAGGGCCTCTGGCGTATCATCGACTCTTTTTTCCCCCTCCGCTTTATAATCCTGTAGGGTAAAGTAGCTTATGTGCAAATGGTCTCGAGATACCTCTTCTGCACCCTCAACATCTCCCTCACTTCTGATTTCTTCCTCTCAGGGGTCTCTGAGCCACTGCCTTTCCCTCTTCTGATCCACATTCCTTCAGCATTGTTCTCTTCTCTCTGCTTTCACTCGCTCACTTCCTTTTGACGGAGGGCAGACACATCTCTGCCTTCCACGGGGCCTGGCACGTCATAGGAGTTTTGTAAGTGGCCAACAGACTAGCAGTTAATAAATGAGACTTGTGGTTGGAGAGGGACAAGGGTAGGTAAAGCACCACAATGATAAAAATGCCTGCTGTGTGCCAGGCACTGCAAAAGATATTTTTTGCACCTTATCTATGGGCTAGGGGCAGGAAAGGGCAAATGTGTGACTCTGAGGTCAGAACACCTGCTTCTTTGTAGTTCTATCAGCATGAAAAGAGGTCATAGGGGGAGAAGATGAGGTCAAATTTTACATTTAAAGAAAAAAGGCTACTCCAACTCATGGCATCTCCGTGCATGTGACTGGCAGGGAGGGTTTTCAGAAGTGGGGTTTTGGAAGCAGATCATCATGCCTTTTTTTTTCTTCCCCCTTTTCCTTTATAAAATAAATCCATTTTATTGCAATAAATTTGAATTTTTAAAACATTTTTTTGCATTGTAAACATGGTTCTTTCACCTTTTTTAAATTATTCCTTCATTCATGCATACTTCTCTCCCTTCCCTTCTCTACTCCCCAGATCCCCCTGGTAAGACTATTAATTATCATAGACCTGGTTTCTAATTTTCCATTCCTTTCAGAAAGTCCTTCCTTTCATTTATTCCAGTGCAGTATTCTCGGGGTGCCTCTAAGTGGACTCAAACCCCTAACCTTTCAAATAGAAGCTAAGCTTATTAACCAAGTATACTGGTCCTTTCTTGAGGGTTAAAGATGCTTCTTCTGGTGTCTTCCTGTCCCACTCACTTTCTTAATTCTCACTATTAAAACTGCTTTCACTTTCCTCTCCTGGCTCCTGAAAACCTTTCATCAGACTTGGACATGCCCCAAGTCCCAGCCAAGCTTTGTCTGTTCACAGAAGAGCAGAGAAGCTCTAACAGTTCTCTCTTCACAGCTAAGTGGGTCAGTTTTCACAGCAAACCTCCTCCTCAGGCTAGCCTTGGTTAAACACACATGTGACTTTGAAAGACTACATCAAAGCAGTCCACCTAAGAAATGTACTTCACTCAAGTGATTGATATCCAACGTGGAATATTCTGGGCTACTCTTTTTTTTTTTTAAATCAGGTGCAAATCCTTCCCAGAAAGTATCCTGAGTATCTAGAATAAAGGGAGGCAAAAGACACAATTCATGTGGCTCAGTTTTTGCCCAATACAAGAATGGATCAGAAAATATTCTCTCCTTTGCATTTTGTAGCCTGGCAGCCTTGTGCAAGGGACTCCCTGTCCTAATTGCTCCCTGACAGATTTTATACATTTTCAACAGCCCTTGCTAGGGAGCTCCATTTCCAGATTTTCACACCTTTGAAACTTGAGTTTGGTGAAGCACTACTCTCTTAAATATATGCAGCTGATCAAAGATAGTATTTTGACTTCCTTTCTAAATCAGCCTATAAGAAGAGATTAACATCAGTTCACAGACACAGGAACTCTCTGGGCTCTTTAATTCCTAAGTAGTGTTGGTGAAGGTATCTATGCTCTTCAAAGGGAAATAATTTTTTTAAAACTTTTTTTTTTCATTTCGATCACCTCCAACTTTCTTGACTCTTGTGTATCTCTCTCTCTCTCTGAAAAGAAACGGTGGGTAAACAAACTGCTTGGTAGCAAAACCACCTTATCAGAAAGATGCAGTTCTGCATGACTCCTTCACACCAAGCTGCCAGCTTTCCATAACCTGCAGCTCATCTGGGTTGCTATCCTCTTTTTCTATGAGAAAGTGAGCAGTTGAAAAGGTGCACCATTAACTAGAGAAAGCAGTTTGGACAGTTTAGGGGCACCTACATGGGCTATGGATCTCTGATGGCACAACAGTTACTTAGTTGCTAACATAAAGGACCAGGAGCTCTGGTGGTCTAGTGGTAAGGAGTTGCACTGCCAACCCAAAGGCTTGCAGTTCAAATCCACCAGCTGTTCCACGGGAGAAAGATGGGCAGTCTCCTCCCATGCAACTTACTGCCTCTGAAAACCTACTGGGGGAGGGTCAGCTATAAGACAGCTCCAACTGAACAGAATGTAACAACGACCTGAAGATCAGCAGCTCAAACCAACCCAGTAGCTATGCAGAGGGAAAGACCTGGCAATCTGCTTCAAAGAGACTTACAGCCTATCAGAACCATGGGACAGTTCTACACAGCACTACAATGGTTGCTACAGGTCAGAAGCAATTGGACAGGACACAACAACTTGAGTTATGACCTTGTTGGAAATTCGCGCTGGTACAGTAGGCTTCAATCACTTTCAGTATCTGGGCATCCTCTTCCAGAGCAGCCGTACCTGTCAAATTTAATTCACAATTACTTTTCCAAGAAATGCTCAAAATGAAGCGATACACCCCACATCACAGGCTGCTCTGACCTGGTGTTTCTCAGAAGCAGGAGTAAAAGCCGCCTAAGGCTCCTGAAGGAGCCTGAGTGGAAGCTTCCCCAAAGAGCACTTGAGTGTGTCCACCCCTGCCAGCCAGGGACCTGCCAGCTGCCTCTTGGGGGGCTACAGTGATAGCACTGGGCTTGCTGCTGGCTGCAATTCTCATCCGATACACCACATCCTTCCTCTCCTTTACAGTTCAAGGTCGCCTTCTCTAGGAAGCTTCCCTCCCCTTCCTCCACCAACCCCACCCATTTTCCAACCAACCCGCCTAGTCATTGATTCACTGTGCTTCCTCCTTCCCTCCCAGCTCAGTCTTGAAATGACTGTAGGGCAGCCTGTTCCCATACTTAAACACACATCTAAAATGTGGGTGCAAGGAGGGGACGGAGAAGTGGAAGTCAAGCAACTATTGATCCAACAGATAAAGAAAAAATTATTTACTTCTTTGTAAAATACCATTTAATCTTTAACATGTACCCCCACCCTATCTTGTTCACAACCTTCTAGCCAAGTAGGTTCTATTGACTTTGCAGTCTCTTCCTAAATGCAGCCATGCTTCTAGATGTCAGCAGGCTGATTCTTTGGCTAACTGAGATTGTCACTGAGAATCTGACTTCAGGGAGATTTCTGCCTTCAAGTCTATTTACTCTATTTCTGTACAGATAATTCTCTCAGGCAGTGGAAACAAGGGGGAAAATGCATCATAGTAAGTGAGACCCTTCAGCAGTTCTAGGACCAGAGAAAACTATTCTGGTGAGGGGCTAACATGACATGAAGCAGAGAAAGAGGAAATTTATTCAAAAGGCTCAGAAGTGACCAAACCTTCCCATTCATTTATGTAACAGATGACACCAAGAACAAATTGCTCTTATCATTCGCTATTTTGAAATGCACCTTATTTTCCTCAGAACTATTCTGAGAAAATTCTTTAAACTCCTCTTTAAAATCAGTAATGACTGATTAATACCTTTTGTGTTTTTGATACCTTCATTACTTTTGAAAGTGATGTTTGAATCAAACTACTAGTCAAACATGATGAGGTCACCTTCTATTCCTAAATCGTGAAGGCACAGTGAAAGAGAAAGCTTTTTATGAGACTTCATGTGCCGTCCAAGAGCTGGACAGTCCATTGTCTAGCTTGTTGTAGATTTGTGTTCATTGTCCAGCTTTCACATCAGTATTTGTATATCCTCCTAATATTTGTGCTTAAGAGAGTCCCTTTTTGAGCTAAGGTACTTGTGTGAGAAACAAACTGTTTTTCTCATAGTTGTGAGGTCTATTTTGTACCCTCATCTTTTTAAAAACTTTTCAGTTCTTTGTTTCCTCACTTAACAGGCAACACAATTGTATTTCTCCATCTCAAACAATAATGTACTTACAAGTACAAAACACCTACTTTTCCTAATCACATATTCCTCCTCTGATGGTTTCCTTTCAGTCTTTCTTTTATGAAGGAACTTCTTCATTGTTTTGGGACTTTTACTAGACTCCTGTAAGGACAGAGGATTCTTAATGAATTAAAATAGCCCCCTCAGAAAACAATATTAAATCTAACAAATGAACTTAAATAGAAAAATTCTATCTCGTTTAGATAGTCTGAGTTATGAGTGCATACAAATTTAACATCATTCCCAATCATTCACAATAAAGCATGGCTCTAGCAAGCGAAGTTAAGACAGAAGCAAGGACATTATCCTTTCGATTATCATGTTGTTGTTGTTGTTGTTGTTATGTGCTGTTATGTCACAGTTGATCCTCCACTGGGTTTTCAAAGCCTTTATATTACGTGGGAGGAGAATGACCATCTTTCCACCCCAGAGCAGCTGGTGGATTCAAACCACATGCCTTAGGGTTGGCAGCACAACCCTAAGGTCGCAGTAAGAATACCACTTAGCCACTAGAGGTCCCTCTCAATTGCCATAGGGATAAGAATAGGAATGAGCCTGCCTAGTGAAGGTGGGGTGGATTCCCCAGGAAGCCAAATGCCTTTACGGTACCATCTGCAGAGAAAATGCTTGTCAAGCCTGGTGAAAGAACAGTGTTCTGGACTTGGTTCGTGTTCCCCACTGATGCAGTTGTAAGGGCATTAAATAACGGTCATACCTATTAATGTAGTGTATGTATAACTTTTCAAAAAACTTCAAAAGTATTTAAAAATAAGGTTTTTTTTCTTCTTAGCAACAGTCTCACAAAAAAAGAAAGCAGCTTGTATTTCCCAGAAAGAATCCTTAAGACAGAGAGACTAAATAATTTTCCCAAGGATAAAGAAGTGAGACAGATGAAGAAGTTCCTGGTAAATGGCTCTGGATCAGGAGCTATGCATCCACAGCCGAGCAGACACACACCAAGTGAATTTTTAATTGTTGTTACTGTTGCGTGCCGTCGAGTCGGAACCAACTCCAGTGGGCTTTCAGAGGCAGTAAATCTCATGGGAGGAGACTGCTCTTCTTTCTCCCATGGAGCAGCTGGTGGATTTGAACCGCGTGCCTTTGGGAGTGCGGCACAGCTTTTTACCACTAAGCCATCAGAGCTCCCAAAGATATGGATTATTTGGCATTTGCTTTTGCCACAGGAATAACCAAAAGCTCTTAAAACGTGCTTATTGTCAAATATCCAAGTTTAAATGTTAGAACCTTTGACCTCACCTTCTTATTCCTATTATCCCATGTAATATATGCATGTGGCACAGGGATAATTAGTACTACTTTAAAAAATATCTAAGGACAAGAACTTCATTTCTTACACATAGACACAGCTATACACTTAGACTTGAAAACAGACAGACATGAAAAGCTCAGTTATGAAATAATAGAAACAATAGCTTTATGTATAAAAGCACATAGGAAAACAGGCATCTGGAAGACATAAGACGACATTTTTCATACGGATTTCACAAAAGCCTGCTTTTAAAAGTACTTACATATCAGAATTGCATCTTCATATTTTAGCCACCAATTGTAACAAGGGGCAAAATGCGCATCAAAGGTTACAGCATAAGCATTATGGGGTCATTGTAAGCCAAAGATATCAATCTACCCTTACCTTTAAGATATAAGAGATCCTCTAAAGTGAATATGTAAAGAAAGAGAAGATGAGTGTGAGAGGTTGATGATTATAATGACCCACTCCACTTATCAATAATTCCAAAACAACATTTAAATGTTAGTATTCTCATCAATTACACAGAAAGAGCACCCTTACGTTCCCCACATTAGTTCCAGTTCCACACCATCATGCAAAAAGCCCAGGGAATACAGTTCTGTGCAGAATAACAAATGCTGCAAATAACTGAAATATACACCACAGAGTAAGAGCATATTAATCACTCTCTTCCCATGGCAGAGACAACGTGATCATGCCTAAGTTTTAATAGATTAGTTATGTGGAAGATTGCATCAGCTTTACCCTTTAAGCTCACCTTCATTTGAATTTAGTAACTCACAGACAAAAAAAAAAAAGGCACCATCATTTAAAAAGAGGATCTAGAGAACTGTGAGGTTTAGAAATTCCAAGAAGATTGGTTGACTGCAAAGAAAATCTATAAGACTGTTTCCTGGTCAAATTCTGAATGTAAGCACGAAATCAAGATCTAGCTCCAGGCTTTGAAAGGATCAACAAATTCTTGGTGTCAAATATCTTCTGGTTTTTACTGAGAGTTGGAGGCAACTTGAAATTGAGCTAAATCTGTGTCACTCATCAAAACCCACATTTGTTGTAGAAATATATTCTGCCTTTGTATCGTAATCCTAAATCACATTTCCTAACTGCCACCAATGTATTATCTATTCAACAAAACATGTTTCAAAAGCAATTACTGACAAATGAAGTCTCTTTCTTAGATCTTAAATAACTAGACATGGGGTTCTTGGGAGGACAGGGGGGACACTCCACACAGTTACAGAGCTATTGATTGAAATTTCATGACTACAATTTAAGGGGGGGGCAAAAATAATCTTAAATCCTCCCAATACCCAAATATCAAATGGTCTTCTCTTAGGGTGTCTATGAAAAGCCTTTTTTAGAAAAGGCATTCCTTTCATTGTTTTTCCTCTCCTTCGTTAAGTTAACCACTTTTGTAGTTCTAATTCACAGCTTGATCCCCTAATACTTTACTGATTTGGTTTAACAGCTCACAATGATCCAAAAGGCAGAACTGATCTGGTTGGTTTAAAAATCAATGCGAATGAAGTGGCTCCTGTTGGAGAGGTGTGTCTATCATTGCCAATTTCTAAAATTCTCATCACTTATAAAGAGCAACCCGGGGCACTTCAGGAAGAAACCCAGAAACTCTGTTGGTGTTCAATAAGTATAGGCAAATGAACCCTGGAGGAAATAGAAAACGAAGAGAGAAAAATCGAAGTCTGACAATCCAAGATCAACTGGCACGTATTGCCTAGCATCAATTCTAGCACATTCCCACAGAGCTATTTGTGATAGTCTAAGAAATTAGCTTGTCAGAAGCATTGTATACCACATGTAGCAAAGTTACCTCTTTATAACCTAGTGCTGCTGATGGTCTAAGTGGAGGTGCAGGTCGTAGACAACTTAAACTCCACGGTTTTATAATCTGAGGAGGCTCCAAGGGTCCTCGAGGCTGTCCAGAAGAGCTAAAAGACTGGGAAAATGTCTGATGAGATGTAGGCACTCTGAACCCAACCTAGTACCACACAGTGTGCAAATAACAATAAGCTCTCTGAACCAGAAAAGTCAGCCACAGAGAGGGAAAGAGGAGAACTGATACTCTACAGTCATAGGTTCTGGAATCTCCAAGGAAGAGTGCAAAATAGACTCAACATTCTACGATCACCTCTCCTTTCAAAAATTCTGTTGAAGCCTGTTATTTGCCCCTTCTAGAGGGCGGGAAAGTTGTAGAACCATTACTATTTAATGGACTCAGTTATATATGTTTGGCACTATAGTAGATGTTGAAATGAGTCATTTTATCAGAACGACTCAATGAAGTACAATAACTAGCTAGTAACTGGCAAATGCAAGATTTGAACCCAGGCCCGATGCCGAGGCCACCTTCTCCCTACCAGAGCACACAGTGCTCAGAGCTGGAATTTTGACAGCACAGGTTTGGAGTGTTTAACAGAGAGTACCACTTATCTTCCAACTTGTTCAGCAAGTATCAATGTTCTCATCAATTCAAACTCCATGGATTCTAATTTTGTTGCAACTCATTAGAAACCAACGCTACAAGCTTCCCTTTGAAGAGGGTTACTGAGCAAATGTGTTAGCATTAATGAGATTACATGGAGATGTTGAAGTACTCATGAAGGTAAACTATTTGTGTTGACTTAGCACATGCTGATATAAGAATAACTGCTGCTAATTAAAATAAGTTTACTGGCTCATTAAGGTATCTTAGCAGGACTGCTGGTTAGAAACATTTATTAGCTGTTAGTTGGAATAATGTAATACTATCAAATGAAACTACATACCTCTAAGCAAAATGTTTCACTAATTTTGACAGGCCTTCACAACAAGAAATCGAGATTAGTGAGGTTCAACTGTACTTTAAAATCTACACCCACTATAAATGACCCAGAGACTAAAGGCATGCGCACTGCTTCTTCTAAGTCTTCAGCAGGCAGGATATGAGGAAAGACTCAATAATCCCTGGACAGGACAAATGGACTACTTACGGAATGACCACTGCCGGACGACGAGGTTTTGGATAATGAACCACAAGAGGCAGGTCCTCGGGTCAGTTTGAAGAGCTGATCCAGCCACTCCTGAAAGTCCTGGCTGTTGTTGCAATGGACCACAAGTCTCTCTGTTAGGCTACCTGCATTACCCAGTGATGAGAATTGGGAAACAAAATGCAAGGAGAACCTTGAGCTCGCCACAGAAACATAAAGTCATTTGGATAAAACCTGTGTGTCTATTTTCAGGTATTTCTATAGCCATGTGACATCACTGATGTTAGCGGCCACTGAGTTGACTCCAGTTTATGGAGTGTTTACGCATAATAGACCAAAACACTGCCTGATAATTTCTGCATCGTCCTCACAAGCATACAATCATATTCATATTCTCTCACCCCCTCTTTCCCTCCCTCTCCCTCTTCTCCCTCTTTTCCCCCATTCCTTATTTCCACTCCTTCTCCCTCTCCTCTCTGCCCCCCTTCTTCCTTTATCCCTCCCACCTCCCACTCCCCCCCCGTCCCCCCCCCTTACTTTCTCCTCCCTCTTCTGTCTTTCTGCCTCCCTACCCTTCTCTTCCTTCAAGTTGAAACAAACTTGTGGCTGACCCTCCAGTGAGTTTTCAGAGGCTTTCAATTGCATGGGAGGAGACTGCTCAACCACAATCATGTTTTTCCTAAGATTTTCACTGGCTAATTTTCTAAACTATGTGCCTCTGGAACGTCTGTAAACTTGGAGAAATTATGAGTTATAGAAAGACTTCCGGTCTTTTGTTCATATACATATATGGAAGGCCCTTGTATTTAAATGTCGCTTGGGCCCGAGGGCCAAGTGTTATTATTTTGGAGAAATATTCTTTTAACTTGTACAACACTCTTCTGTCAATTTGCTGTACTGTGATAATCTGGGTTTGCTGTGAAGCTGAAACTTGTGCCACACTGCAAGTCAAATGCCATAACAGCTGCCCATGGTGGAGTTTGGTGGAGCTTCCATTTTCAGACAGGTTTGGAAGCAGGAGTGGTATCCACTTCCTAAACCACATGCCTCTGGAAACTCTATGAACCTGGAGAAACGACGGTAGTTGTTGAGTCGTGCTCGACTTGACAGCAATCAACAACAACAACAAATTTTCAGAGTTCTGGTGGCCTAGTGGCAAGGAGCTGTACTGCCAATCCAAAGGCACAGGGTTCTAATCCACCTCTGCTCCAAGAGAGAAAGATGGACTCTCCTGCCACCATAGTACAACAAACTGGGAGGGGGGTGATGAGTCTATGGGTTAACCCTGTTTAAACTTATAGATGAGGAATAAACACATGTGATAGTAAGAAAGAAAAAGTCTTATCTTTAAAATTCTCTTTCATTTTCACTACTTATAGGCTTTTTTTTTTAAGGTGAAAGCAAGGATAATGTTTAGAAAAGATACAGCCCATCGAGTGAGATGGGTCATTTCTCCAAAGTAGAGAGGGGAAGAATGATCCACTTAGAGAGTTTTAGAAGCAATCAAAAACTTCACTGTGAGCCAAGTCATAAGCCAAGACTTAAAGTATGTCCTCCACGCTCACAGTCCACTTGGTCTGGAGCCCAAAATGAGGATATTACAATGGTTCCTCCGGTACCCAAGTTGGAGGAACATCAAACTAAGATTGATTCCAAGCATCGCACAAACACCAATTCTTAGACAATCGATGGGGAGAGAAGGAGAGGAGTCTGGGGCCATTATCCCAGATACAACCAGTATGGCATATTAGTGCAAAAAAGTGCAGTCACCCATTATATGTAGATTGCAGATCACACAGGCCTGGAAAAAACGGGTAAGATGCCCAAATACCAGGGACCATTAGAATTTTGCTCCATTTGTGACGCAAGTTTCCTGGCTTTTCAGTACTTTTGAGAAACACAACCAAAGCTTGCTAATTCCTAGGCTGACAATGAAACTGCTGATAAAAAGCCACATCTTTGGCTTCTCCGCCACCAGGGAGGAGAGGACAGAAAGAGAGAAAATTACATTTGCCTCAGTCCATTTTGTTATTTCTTGGTTTGAACAAGCAGCTCTTATGCAACAGAAGATTGGAACTAATGGCAAAGCTGGGGCTTTTGAATGACCAGGAGACTTCTCTGTACCCCAATTATCCCAGGAAATGGAATAGATTTTGTCATGCCCATATAAAACTTGCATATGACTATGTGATAGAAAATAATAGCACTTATTTAATTCCCACTTCATTCCAAAAAGGGTTTGAAGTAGCTACATGAAAAAAGGGGAAATTACCCACCTGTGATTTCAAATGTGTAGTCGTTCCCTTCAATTTCATCTAGTCTGGTCACCACCATTCCTGCTACTGATATTTTTCCCTACCAGCAAAAGAGAATTGCTATTAATTCTGTGGTTATGCAGGTTTCTACTTATTTCTATTAGATTTTCTGACCCTTTCAGAAATCACTGCTGAATTACAGCTGGAGATAGCTCTTTGATCTGTCAATAGGTAATACTTCCCTGATCTACATGTTAATCAGACTCATCCTCTTTATATTAAGGGTGATGGAAAAAGATGGTAACAGATAACAGTGATGGATGTACAACGTGATGAGCACAATTAACTTACCGACTGTGCATGTGAAGAATGTTAAAAAGGCCAGTGTTTAGTTACACACACGTTTCCAACTTTTCAAAGAGGAAGCAAGTGAATGGAAAATGTGAGTTGTATTTTGCTAATGCACTCTAACTCATCCTGAAGATAGCGTCATAAGAATCAATGAAATATTCAAATTCTATGAAAGTTAATTGTTTGTTAACTGGACAAAAGATCTACAGTTCTGCTCTTACAAATATTATTATCTAGGAAACTCTTGAGGCAATTCTACTCTGACCTATGAGCTTGCTATGAAATGGTAACAGCATAGCAACAACAAAGGTTAATAATGCTGTAGAGTCGATTATAATTCAGCAACCATGTGGGACAGGGTCTAACTGTCCTATAGAGTTTCCAAGGCTGTAAATCTTTATGGAGGACATGCACACCCATGTTCATTGCGGCTTTGTTCACAATAGCCAAGAGTTGGAAACAACCTAAGTGCCCATCAACAAACGAATGGACGGAGAAGCTCTGGTATATTCACACAATGGAATACTATGCTGCATTGAAAAACAAGGAACTCATGAAATATTATGCAAAATGGGTGACCCTGGAGGACATTATGCTGAGTGAAATGTCTCGGTCACAAAAGGACAAATACTGCATGGTGCCACTGTTGTAAAACAGGACTGACATCAGGGTTGGGGGGAGACTGAGAAAGATGGGTTCAATAATGTATACTGCATTGAAACAGATGAGGGAGAAAACTGTTTAAAAGGGATATGTGATTAGGTATTTTTGTCATGACAGGAGTCCAGAGCAAAGGCTGCATAGTGGAGTGGACCTCAGGGAGGGTTTGTAAAACAATGAAAGAATTTGTCTTTTACTTTTCCAAGAGGGGAGTGTACTAGCGGGGAGGGTTGGGAGGGGAGAAAAGTGCAACAATGAATAAATGGAAATCCAAAGTCTCTGTAAATTTTTACTGAAATTAATAAAAATTTAAATAAATAAATAAAAAACTTATGGAAGCCAGCTGCCGTCAACCTTTCAGTCAGCAGCCAAATGCGTAATCTCTGCCCCACCATGACTCCTCAGGAAACCATGGTTTTGTTGTGTGCCACTGAGTCAGGTCTGACTCATAGCTGACCCTCCAGCGGGTTCTCAGAGGCAGTTAATCACATGGGAGGAGACTGTCCATCCTTCTCCTGCAGAGCAGCTGGTGGATTTGAACCATGTGCCTTTGGGATTGCAGCCAAGCTTCTTGCCACCAGAGCTCCCTAACTCTATATTTTTGGGAGCAAAGTGAAGGAAGCTTAATCTTATAAGGAAACCAGTGTGTTACATTTTCAAAAACCTAGTCACTCAAGGTAACTAATAAGATAAACAGAAACAGACCTCAGCTCAAATTTTCGCAGTAATAAAGGCATGGACCTGTCAAAGCTGCTGCTAATTTATCTCATTGTGGAATTTAATTTCCAATTCCAACTGGGATCAAGTCAATTCCAACTCCTGATGACCCTCGAGTTCACAGCAGAGCTCCCTCGCAGGGTTTCCAAGGCTCTGTTGGCCTAGAAGTAAGGAATTGTGTTGTCAACCCAAACGCATGCAGTTCGAATCCGCCAGCTGCTCCATGGAAGAAAGATGGGCATTCAACTCCCACGTGATTTACTGCCTCTGAGAACCTTCTGGTGTTAAGGACAGCTATGGGTCAGTCTCGACTTGACGGTACACAATAACAACAATTGTTATGGAAGCAAGAGTGGCCGGTGAGGTCAAACCACTAATCTTTTGGTTAGCAGTAAAGCATTTAACCAGTGCCCCACCAGGGTTCCCTGATTTTTCTATTCCATATTCATAATTCAGTTCACTACCAGAGCAGTGGACACTCAGGATACACTCACTGCAACAATACAAAGGTCTCTGATGTCAGGAACATCCCAAGTTCATAAGTGCATTATGAACCGTTTAATGAAAATGAAAGATCCGAACATTCTGCCAGTTGCAGCTGGAGCTTTGAATGTCATGGTGGAGACAGCAAACTTGGATGGAAACCTGTTTTCATTCTAGTCCTGCTATTTGTTTTCTATGAAACGTACTAACCTGATAGATGAAGCCACTCATCCGAGGACTTGCAGATAGCATTATTAACACATTTGAAAATAACATGAGGTACCGCTCCTCTTTCTCCTGAAACAGAATGAAAAGCAGTAAGTGGAGACTAGAAATTGGGCATTAGCTGTTGCTGTTAAGACCTTCCGGAATCATGGTTTTGTAACACAGACCTTGTTTAATCAACTGAAGCATGAAGAGTGATTTTACTTAAAAAGCTAGCCAATATAAAAACCCAAAACTAGTTTGATTTTCCTTTAAAATGCAGATTCTCCCCCTCTTTACTGTACATAATTGTTGTTGTTGTTGTTACATGCTGTCGAGTCAACTATGACTCAGGGACACTATGAACAATGGCTCTGAAACTTGCCCTATCCTGAGGTAGCCTCACTGTCTCTGACAGACCTGACCCCATTGTCACAGTCACTGTGTCAAGTTATCTCATCCAGGGTCTTCCTCTCCTGTGCTGTCCCTCCGCCCTCCCAAGCATGATGTCCTTCTCCAACGACTGGACCCTCCTGGCAACATGCTCAAAATATATAAGTTGGAGCTTCAAAATCCTCGCCTCCAAAGCGTACAAATAATCATGCTTGTTTCTTCCACAGCACAGCCCTGCCTCGAATGAGGCCTGTAAGCTGTGCCAGGGCTGAAGGCAAAGGAAGCTCTATGCTTACAAAGCAAATGTTATTTTTATTTAAAAGCAGGGAATTGAAGGAATTTGCTAGAGATGGGAAATCTCTTACACTATTTTTGTGAAATTCTTAATCACGAAAAGATGTATAATTATTAAGAACAGCATTATTAAACCATGTAAACACAAAGAAAGAAATGGGGTGGGTTTTTAAAACAATATACTGAAGGCAACTTTACCTGAGTGCTTCTTAGTACCCTTTAAAGAATTAAGCAATTGATGGGTGCAATGATCTTTATGTCTCTCCATCTCCTTCTGCTCACTCCTTTGGCCTGTTTTACTGGTAGCTTTGCCTCGAGCATCTGCATGTTTCCTGTTCTAACAGGCCTTCTCTTGACCCTGTTGCTCCATAAACGTGCCCTCCAATTTTGGGACATTTTTATTTCTAAGTTACCAGCTGCCTTCATTTTCTCTTCATTGATTTCCTCCATAACTCCACCTCTGCCACTCTCTCAAAGTCATCAAGAACTGCCTTCCAAAGCGGGACTGACATCAGAGTTGGTGGGAAACTAGGAGGGGATAAATAATGTATGCTGCATTGAAGCAGATGAGGGAGAGAACGGTTTAGGGGGAATATATGATTAGGTATTATTGTCATGACAAGAGTCCAAAATGAAAGCTGCAGAGTGGAGTGGACTGGGGAGAAGGGATATTGTATGACAATGAAAGAATTTTTTTTTTTTTTTTTACTTTTCAAAGATAAAGGTGAACTGAGGGGAAGGGGTGGGCAGGGAGGAAAGTGTGCAACAGTGAATGAATGGGAATCCAAAGTCTCTGTAAACTTTCATTAAAATAATACTACTAAAAAGAGGGCGAGCTCTGGTGGCCTAGTGGCAAGAAGGTGTACTGCAATCCCAGAGGTGCACGGTTCAAATCCATCAGATGCTCTGCCGGGGAAGGAGGAACAATCTCCTCCTGTACCAGTCAGATCTGATTTGACGGTACACATACACATACACACACAAAAAAAAAAAATAAAAAATAATAATACTAAAAATAACTGCCTTCCAGCAACATCCAGCAGCTTCTCCCTTGGTCCTCATGCTGTCTGACCTCTGAACCTTCCACTGCACTCAACATGCCAACCACCTTCAAGTGCGGAATTTCCTCTTGTTCTCTACATCTCTTTGGGGGTTTTGGTTTGGTTTGGTTTTGCTCCTGGTACTGATCCCTGCTCCATCCACTCAAAATATTTATCTTAAAGGTGTAAATAACTCTTCAGTCAACTCACTAGATGAATCCCTCCTCCCCTCCAGGGTTCATTTTAAATGAGTGCTTGTTAAGCCAAAGTAATGAATCTCTGACACAGAGACATGGCGAGCACAGGAACACATTCTGGGAGAAGACCCTCCTAACACCCGCGAGGTGATGCAGACAACCTTCCTAAAAGAAAAATCCACCTCGATGGCACATAACAACAACAAGCAGCAGCATCTCGTGCTCCCCTGACTGTTTGCACATGTGATGGTGACCTGCAAAACGCTAACTCTGACCTGTCCCCCATGTTTCCATGCCACTTTCAGAGCTGCCCACAGAATGTCTCCCCCTGGATATCTGCAGACACTTGCAAGTCCACAGGCCTAATGCACTCTAACTCGTTCTGAATACAGAGTCCTAAGAAACAATAAGCAAAAGAAAGATTCCAACTTTACGAAAATTAATCATTGATGAGATGGGAGAAAAGACTCTTCTGTTGCTTTTCACTTCTAAATGTGTCTCGCACTTGCCCCTTGGGCTCCATTCCCTCTGCCAACACTGTAGTTGAGGTTACTTACCACTTCTCATCCCAACTGGCCTTTCTGTCTCCAGTCATGCCCCCTCTAAACCAGATGACATATATTGTGTTGAGTCAAGCAGCATAAACCCCCTTTTCATCATGTTTAGCCACAGCTCAGGAAGCTTTCATAGTTTCCTGATGACCAGCTGCATCAATGGGGGTTATGTGGTCCATAGTTCTCCACAAGCTGACTCTCTCGGACTCAAGCAGTCTTTTCTTCACTGTGCCCAACAGGCTTGTTCTGCTCCAAACAGGCTGCTCTCTTCCCCGTCCTATCGAACAATGATGTTCCTCTACCTTACAAAACCCTCCCTCTCTAAATGCTTTTTCCACAATGCCTGCTTCTTGATTACTTTCTTCTCTGAATGTCTCCAGAGTCTGTTGTTGAGACGACACAACCTGGCAGTGACTATTTTGGTTTGTTTTCTAGTTACACCTTGTGTTTTATTTGCTTTTAATGAGATCTTTGAAGACAAGGATTGTTTGTTCTTTCTTCCCAACTCCTCCAGCACCTAGCAGAATGTTGGGCAAAGAATCATTGTTAAGTTCCTAGCAGGAATATTCTAGCCTTTGATTTCAATGGAAGGACAAAGAACGAACGAAAAATAGGGATGATGCAAGAGGGAAGAAACGGTGCTGCAATTTAAAACACCGTACCTCACACGTGCCGTGCTGCACCATTACTTGTGACATGAAAACCACATTGCCCAAGGTTTTTATATCTTCCCCTTCCCATGCTTGAATAGGTTCAGAAAGTATCTGCAATTCCAGCTGTTTTCTCTTCCTCAGATCTTGGCACTGTCCCTGTAGAGACAAAGCAGAACATCATAGGAGTTTATGGAAACAGACCCAACACAGGATCAAAGTAAGATGTGGCTTTGGCTCTCAGATTCCTCCTGAGTCCCTCCTCTGTACCATGAATCCCATTCCTAATATACAGAAAGACTCACTACCTTCAGTCTTAACCTGTAATCCCCAATACTTTTATGAAGGAAAGCTACCTTTTCATTCTCCAAAGTCTCAAGATAAAATGTTAGGAGGGACTTGTTTCTCCCTCTCTGCAGGAGATTGTTGGGATGTACATTCATTATGAGTGAGGTATGTGTACTATACATATGTATATTCAAATCATTTAGACAGTATATTCAAAATGTGTGTAAATATATATGTATACATATATGTAAAGTATATATACATACATGTAAACATGTATACAACATATGTATATTCAAAATCATTTAGACAGTCTCTTTGAATCATTTAACAGGATTCCTTCCAAATTGGCTCTGGAAAGCAGAATATGGTTAGTTATGTTACTAAGTCCAAATGAATATAATTTTGAGAGTGTCTTTTCTATAAAATTTCTGCTGTCCTTTGAAGTTAAATGAAGAGGAAATGAATTTCTTCTACACATATTTTGAAGTGCCTACAGTGGTAATAAATACACTGTAACTGTCAAAGCAAGTAAACATGTAAAGTGATCAGAAAGACATTTGGTCTTAAATGTCATACATTCAATATACCCAGGAAAAAAGAAAAGGGACACAAATTAGAAGAAATGCCATGGTTTTCATTCACTTACAAAATGGGCAAAAGACATGGAAAGAATTTTCACAGAGGAAGGAATGGGAAAGAGACACATGAAGAAATGCTCCAAATCACTGGCAATAAGAGACATACAAGTCAAAAACACAGTGAGTGAGGCACCATCTCACTCCAGTTAACAGTGGCAAAGTTTAACAGGGCAGCAAGTAATAAATGTCATAAAAGTAATAAATAAAATGTAAATAAAAAGTAAATCAATAAAATGTAATAAAAGGAACTTTTATACATTGTTTGTGGGGTTGTAAAATGGTACAATCACTCTGGAAGGCAGTTTGGTGCTTTCTCAAAAAGCTGAACATAGAAATTCCATATGACCCAGCTATTCTACTACCTGGAATATACCCTGAGAAAAATGAGAACTGAGGCACAAACTGAGATTTATACACCAATGTGCATAGCAGCATTAATCACCATCACAAGAACATGGAAAGAGCCCACATGTCCAACCACAAACAAATGAATTGAGAAATGATGGTACATTCACACAGTGGAATACTATGCAGCACGCAGGAGAAATGATTTTGCAAATTATGACCTAACTTGGGAGGAACTGGGGAGCATTATGCTGAGTGATCTAACCCAGTCTCACAAGGACAAATAATGTATAAAACCATTACTGTAGAATGAATATAAGGATCCAAGAAGGTTGGGAGAGGGTGGAAGCAGAGGGATGAGGATGTGTGGGGAGAGGGGGAGATAAATCATTGGGTTGTACAATTTGATGGGTGAGGGGGTGAGGTAAATTGGAAGAATCTGTTCTCTACAACAATGTGTTTGAACTTTGCAAATAAACTCGTGTACAATTTTAAAAATAAATAAATAAACAAACTATATGAGCAGGGGCTGGGGAAGAAATGCCATGGATTTCAGAAGCCTGTACTCCTAGGCTGGACTATATAAAACTGCCAATATTCACCGGTTTTAAGGGTTATTTTAAGCTAATGCCTTATTTCATTGTTGTTAGGTTGTCGACTACAACTCATTTCAACCCTATGAACAACAGATCTGAACCTTGCCCTATCCTGTACTCTCTTCATGATCTGTTTTTCTCATTGCGGTAATCACATTGTGGTAGTCACTGTGTCATTTCATTGTGTTGAGGGTCTGCAAGGACTGGGTCCTCTTGAAAATATGCCCAAACTATGTGAGGTGAAGTTTCACAATTCCTGCATCTCAAGAACACTCTGGTTACAGAATTGTTTGTTCTTTTGGAAATCCACAGTATGTTCAATACTCTTCATCAACACTAAAATTCAAATTCATCACTTTTTCATAGGTCATCATTATTCACTGTTCAACTTGTAGATACATATGAAGCAATCAAAAACACCCTGGTTTGGATCGGGTGCACCTTAGTCTTTAAACTGATGTTCTTGCTCTTTAACACTTTTGAGAGGTCCTTGACAACAGATTTCCCCATTGCAATATATCTTTTGGTTTTTTTGACTGCTGCTACCAAGGATGTTGGTTGTAGATCCCAGTACAATGAAATCTTTTGACAACCTGAGTCTTTTTTTCTCCAAAAGATTGAAGTTGCCTTATTCTAGTCTTCAGTTTTCCATTTAGGTATGGGCACATTAGTTACTGATCTTTTGGTAGCAATTAAAAAAAAAACAAGACAGTGGCCAACATTTAATTATTTACAACAATGTACAGTTACTTAGAGCTCCTTACAGCAAAGATCAATAACTAAACATTGATCCATCACTTGAAATAGTTTTCTTTCTTTCTAAAATGGCACTAAGAGGTTTTATATTAATGGAGTCAAAAAGATACCTAACCATCACTCTCAAAATATTATAGGTCCCTATGAATAGCAATCTATATAAAGCAATTGCATTTTAGTCATTTTTTTTTCCTTTTAGCTATTTCCTTCTTCATATGCAAAGTACCAACTCACGTCTTCTGGTGAAAGTAATTGAATCCAGTATCAACACCAAGTGGTGAAGGAGGAGTTCGCAGACTTAAGGTGAGCAACACCCGGGCAAAGATAAAGAGACAGAAGGAAACCCCCCACCTCCGCAGCAGTGCTCAACACAGCAGAGCCTTCAAGGGCAGTCACTTTATACCCTCAGTCTGGCAACCTTTCACAGGTAAGCATGATGTTCGGAAGACAAAACTCAGTGAAACGATCATGGTGATGGTGTCGCTAAACTTATTCTTTCCATTCTAAAGACCTTTGCATCAGGAAAGAAAAGTTATACACAAACCCCTCGCTTATGAACAAATTATGCAATGGAGACTTCTCATTTTGGAGCATCACCTACCATGAGCGTTTTGAAGGCCATGATTGCTTTCAGAATATCTTGATGATCTGGATGAGTATCCTGTGAAAGGAACATATGAGGAGGCTATTAGCAGAGCATGGCTCAGTGGTTTCCAAGGGTGAGGGGGGAGAGGAAGATGTGACCACACAGTGATAGCGACAGGGAGCTTTGGAGACTGAGGGAACTGTTTCGTGTCTTGATTAGGGTTGTGGTAGCAAGAATCTATATATGCTATATATGTGCCAAAAATTCTCAAATTCTACCCCTCAAAAAAGTCAATTGTACAGCATGATACTGCAATGATTAAAAAAAAAGGTCATATCAAAGCATTTGGAATTGTAATACTTCCAATTATTAGATGACTGTGAACTCAAGACAGCAAATAATTTGTTAATGGTATACTCCCTGTGGTTACTGAGGCAAGAGTTCCTTTCCCCCCCTTTTGTTGTTATGCTTTAGATAATAATGAATAATTCTTTGGGGGGCGGCATCATTGGGCTATGTTGTCAGTAGCCAATAATTAGAGCACAGAAACGCTAGTCTCATTCCCTGAAATGCTTCCATTTTCTTCCAGCAGGTTCACCATGGAAAAACAGATGCAAGACACATGAATCAAAATGCCATGGTACTTGTTAGCTGCCATTGGGTCAGCCATGATTCATGAAGACTCCATGCACTTGTGGCTTAGTGATAAGGAGCTGCACTGCCAAATCAAAGGTAGGCAGTTTGAATCCACCAGCTGCTCCATGGGAGAAAGACAAGCTATTTCCTCCCATGCCATTTACTGTTTCTGAAAATTCGCTAGAGAGAGGGTCGGCTATGGGTCACTTCTGACTGGAGAGTACACGACTACACCAACAACAATCACGCACAACAGAATAAAATGCTGCCTGGCGCTGTGCCACCCCCGCGACTGGCTGCGGATCAGTGATTCACAGGGTTTTCATGTGCTGAGTTTTTTGGAAGCAGATAGCCAAGCTTTTCCTCCCTAGCCCTCCGTCCCCTAGAAGCTTCACTGACACTTCCTCCGCCAGGTAAGTGTTAGCTGCAAGGGAGGTGCATTGGCCAAGGATCAAATCCAGGTCTCCCGAGCAGGGGTGGGGGGATTGTTGGTTTGAGGAGCAGGGAGTCGTGAGGAACCCTGGCCTATTGACTTGGCTGCTGCACGTGGGGGCTATAGAGGGCTGAGTGAGGAAACCAGCAGGTCTGGAACACAGGGAGAAGTGTGGACACCTGAGCTTGCAGCTGATGCCCATGTGAACCTAAGTACAGATGGGTGGGGATGAGCTGACCAGAACCCAACCAGGTGAAGAGAATATGATCCTTGCTGCGAGCTAGTGCTGATTGCTGCAACCTGATGGTTTGCTCTCGACTGGACTTTGCCTGTGGCTACAGAGGCTCAAAGTTTCCAAGTAGAGCAGAGGACCCATCAGAAAAAGGGACATGCTTGTTCCCTCAGAGTCCTGGATTGATAGGGATGGGCAAAGCAGAAACTGGCTTTCCAAAAGAGGGATATTAAGGCATGAAGCATGAAGTAGCAGGCTTATACACCTTCACGAATGTGAAATCATCTCAGTTAAATGATTGTAATGGGAGGAAACTCAAATTGTATAAAATAGAATGTACATGCATGAAACACAATGTATACAAATGACAAAAATATTCATCTTTAAAAAATTGTAAATCTGGATCTCCCAGTAGAAGGTAAGAATTCTACCACTGCGTCAACAACATCTCCATGATTCTTACAGCTCGGAAGGGGCAGAGTCAAGTAGCTTTGAGGAATTCGTGTCTCCATAGCTAGTCCGGAAGAGCAGGAGGGATTCTGGGGATAGATGTACACCTAACCTTTGGAACTGAGCTGATATAATGAGAAGATAAAATCTGCTGCTCAACCAGCCTAGGGTAATAAAATCCAGAGCTGAAGAGGAGAGGTCTGACCCAAAAGTGAATGGCATTACTTATAAAAAGTACAGCTGTTAAAAAAAAATAAGTACAGCTGTATTCCCTTATAATAAAGTTTCTTATTTGAATTAGCTAATAACTGAAAATATCAGCTTGCGAAACCTCTGGGGGCCTAATGGTTAAGGAGTTGTATTCCCAATCCAAAAGTAGGTGGTTTGAATCTCTTGCTGGACAAAAGTGGGAACTCTTCCCCTGTGGCCTCCTGAGGGTCAGCTATGTGTGAGTCAGTTCCTAATTGACAGCAATGAGGGAATTTTAAAAGTTGTATGCTTTTTTTTTTTTTTAATGAAGCTCTAGTGGCCTAATAGGTTGGGAGATGCACTGCCTACTCAAAGGTGAGCAGTTTGAATCTCCACAGGAGAAAGATGGGCTATTGGTTTGAGTCTGATTTCAACTAAATGATAAGAAAGCTAGAGAAATTGTCTCACCCAGAGGGTAATAAGGTTAGGATGTGAGCTATCTGACAATGGGAGCAGGAGGGAACCCAAGACTTGGGACCAATGGCAACTCAAGCATGACAGGAAGAGAAACAGGCTCCCATACAAGGAAGGCCAGTACTGAGGATCCAGGCAGAGGGAATATCTGGGTTCATTTCCTCCAAATTAAGTAGGACTATTCTTCAGTTTAGAGCAGAAAACAGAAGCTGAGACTCAAAGGACTCACTCAGTGAATGGGCTGAGCTTTTGGAAAGGCATCCAGAGGCCAGCCCCTTGGCAAGCCCTAACTGAAATCTCACCCTGGCAGGCCCCCCTCACCAGCTGCCCGCTGCCTCCAGCTTTCAGGCAGGCCAGACATCTGAGCATGTGGTTTCGCTCGGGGTGCATGCTTTCCATCCTTACCAATGCTGACGAGCCCAGCAGTGTGCACCCTTTCTCTTTAAGATAACCAAACCATTTAAAACCTCAAAACCTTTCCCCAGACACAGGAAGAACAAACTAGGGTAAATGCAGCTTCCCCCAGCAGCCCTCCCCTCCCACCCACACCTCAGTCACCCGCGCATGATCGCGCAAGAATAGCTGGGGAAGCTATACCCACTGATTGTTTTTAATAACAAGAAAATGTCAGCTCAGAAATTGTTCAAATTTAATAACTGCTATTGTAAGGGGTATGCATTTCTGGAATGCCTTGTCACAGCTTGCATTTTAAAAAAAGAAGATTTCTTTATGAGAAAATATCCAATTATCAAGCCTTGTTGCAGATCTTAATATTTAAGGGTTTATGATGACATGACAACTGTGGGCATAAACTCTAATTTTATAAACAAAAGTGTGAGGTGATTTGTGAGGGAGATGCATCATGCATGAAGAGATAAACTGGTACCAGAGTCAGAAAAGCGAATAGTCACAAGGCTCTAGAGATAAATATCCCTAACTTGAGTGAAAGGGCCCTTTGTATCCTCTGATGGTTATTTTGTTTGTTTTGTTTTTTGCTTTATTTACCCAGTGAAATCGGTTGTCATACCGGCACAACAGAAGAGTTCTTGGTCTGATTTCATCAAACCACCTCCGATGGAAGAGAGAGGAGGAGAAAACCTAAGTCAACAGGTTAGAACAGCCTATTTGCTAGGAAAGAATGAGGATCTTCTCTTGCTGCACCAACAGGAAATCCAGACGTTTGGAAAAGAGGGAAGACTGGGAAGGGCAAAGTTTGAAAGAGACCGATACCATTTTGCAGGACTCAGCAAGGCTGGTGTGGAGGCCACGGGCTGCTTCACCCTGAAAGGAGGCCCACCCGCGGTGCCCAGCTCGCCTTCATTTACCTCCATGTGCCGTTCCAGCTCTTGCAGGAGAGTCACGTACTTTTCCAGCCGCATAAACGGTTTGCTGAGGCTTGTTGTTAAAATGAGGAGTCCTGGACTGGAAGCACCTTGATTCTCCATAAATTTCTCCAACTCGTCGCTAGGAAAAGAATGGACCTTTTCATTACTGCTAAATGTTCCCCAGAAAGCATCATCAATTCAATATTAGTTTTTTGATATCTCAGCTAATACAAGCCCAAATTTTTTTAAAAGGCTTCATTTCTTGGAATGCCGTTCATTTGAACTCAATTCAGTAAACCTTTACTCAGCTCCTCCTAGGCACCCAGTCTAGACCCAGAGCTAGAATACAGTAGGTGAGTTCAACACTTACAAAACCTGGCCCTTGTTTACTCTCCTAAATATTTGTTTATTGAGCATCTACCAATTGCCAGGCTCTATTTTAATTACTGGAGATGAAGCAATGAACAAAACAAAAATAACTGCCCTTAGAGGCCTGCACCTGTGGGCATAGAACCTAGCTGAGGACTTCAACATCATAAAAGTTTTTAAAAAAAAATGTGATTTCTTAGTCACTTCAACCTTTCTCAGATGCCAAGAGTAGTTGCCCAATGAGTGCTTGCTATAACTGGGGTTTCCACTTGGAATGTTCTAGAATACAGTTCTAAATTCAGATAGCAGCATCCGTATGACTAACCACAAAGCATCTTAATCTAGAATCTGAAACTAGTACAACAGACTACTCAACCACTTCCACCAGGCAACTATTTGGTTTGAAAAAAAAAGAAAGAAAACCTGTTTATTACTATTTTATGACCCTCAACCAGGTAGATTGACACACTGGCTGCAGCAATAGGCTCAAGGGCGTGAGAGATGGTGAGGACAGCACAGGATAGGGCAGGGTTCTGATCTGTTGTTCATAGGGTCTCTATGAATTGTACTCAACTCGGTAGCACCTAGCAACAACAGGTGCTATAAACAGCTAAGTTTGAGCTTGTGTTCTCTCTGCCCTTCAACACCCTCCACCCAGCTCCTTTCCAGCAGCAGTTATGTCAAATCCATTGAAGAATATATGTGAGCAAGATAACATTAGAGAAGTAAATTCACTGTCTAAATGGCAGCATGTTTTGAAACTTCTGCTTTATCATTTGCCCCCTTCACCTCTTGGCCCATGCATATCAGTCATGAATCTTATAGCTGCTCACTCCTTTCCATTCCCACTATTACTAATTTGGTTCAGGGCTTCATCTCACACGTGTGGCTCATTTCAATAGCCCAGCTAGTCTCTCGGTCTCCATGCCCCTACACCATCCTGCGAACCACAACATTAGCCCAAACGTTTTCCTACTCAAATTCCTCTAATTCCTTACAAGATCAAATCTAAACCTTTTCAAATCCTAATGGTCCAATCAGTCTTTCTCACCACACCCCAACAGGAACCTGTACTGCAAAGTGACCTACTTACACTCCTTAGAACACATCCTATGCAGTGGCTCCCAACTGCGGTATGTTGCAACAGGTTGTGCAATGTGTTCAAAGAACTTGGCTTTCAGTAATAACGTACTAAAGGGGTTGGTCATGGAATGCATTGCAGGAATGAATAGTAAATGCTCTGGCCTATCACCAGAGAGGCACTCACCTCTCTCGATGGTGTGCAATCGAGTCAGAACCGACCCATTAGCTGGCCCTCCAGCAAATTTTCAGAGGCAGTTCCAGGGGATACTGCCCATCTTTCTCCCATGGAGCAGCTGGTGAATTTGAACGACATACCTTTTGGTTGCCATGCAACTCCTTACCACTAGGCCATTAAAGCTCAGTCACCCCTTAGAATGGCCAACTATATAGTCAAAAGAGCAACAGTTGCCCAAGGGTAAAGGCCAGAATACAGGAGAAGGTAGACTAGAAGGAATAATGAAAATGAGAATCACAAGTTGGAGGAGTATGATCACATTTTAAGTTCCGTAATTCATGTTATGAAACAGGGAGCTCAGGTGGCATAGTCCATAGGGAACTGTGCTTCTAACTCAAAGGTGGCACCTCTCTGCTGGTTCAAATCCACCATGGGAGAAAGATGGGCAATTCCCTCGTGTGCACCTTAACGCCTCTGAAAACCCACTGGTGGGTCAGCTGTGAGTCGGTTCTGACTCAAAAGCAATGAGACTTTAAAGCAAAATATATATGAGTGGTTGGATGGAAAGCCAATTTGCTTTGTAAACTTCCACTCACATCACATCTTTAGAAGAAGAAAAGATAAAAGAAATTTTGCCCACATGATCAAATGCAATTTAACATATAAAAGGTTTCACAATTGCATAATTACTTCCAGTCCTTCGTGGCAGGAAAACAAGGATAAAAAGAACTATCCAAAAATGATGATAAAAGACATCCTCCTCCTTTGGGCCTTTGTGAGTAGGAAAGGGATGGAGTTTCGGATAACGCCCCAGCACCTTTTTTGTTATGCACTGTCACATGCATGTGGAAGGGAAAGAGGGCTGGGGCCACTGCCTGCCACAGTGGAAGTTTCTCTTATCAAAGTGGTCACATCTCCCAGTCAATGAGAATGATTTAAGTCCGTTTTTGCAATCTTGCTCCAAAAAGTAGCTGAAGGGAGGGAACTGAGGGAGTTATCTGATCCTCAATGGACTCATGCGTATAACAGAGAGAAAGCCTATCCCCTAATGCAACTGTAAAGATGAAATATTGGGCATTTCAAGGCTGCTGTTTCCTATTTAGATCTTTACGTACATTCATTCTTGTTTAATAGTCACAACAATATTTCAATGCCAGTGTTAGCCCCATTTTACAGATGAGGAACCCGAGACTCAGGAAGTGTTGCAGCTAGCACATGGTGGTTAAGTTGGGGTTAGTAGCAGGTCAGAAGCCAAAGTCTCCGTTGTATTTCCATGGTCCCATGTTACCTTTCTACTGGAATAATTTTGTAGTCGTTAGAATAGTCAGTAGATGCATTTTTAGTTGGTTGCTTACTGTGTTTACTTCAGGGCAAATACCTTTTTAAAATCATTGCTTTCAAAATTACCAGTACCTGCAATTTCCAGCTTAATGGAAATGCAAGTGATGTTTCATTTCCAATTCAGAGCACAGAGAAGTTTAAAAATTCATTGCATATAAAATATAATTGGGGGAAAAACTTGGATTTGATGAGTACATCTGGGTTGAAATGTAATTTGGGGGGGGATCACTGTCCTAATGTTGTTTTAACTTGGTAAACAAGTCTTATTTTTTTTTTGCTTTCAATAACTAAATGACTGTCTACATTTTGAATATTCTTCTTTAATTGGTAGAACGTCAGCTCTAATTGATGTAATATTCTGCTCTAATTGATGTAACTTTGTACTCTAATTGATATGAAGGTTGCAATAATTAAAGGCAAATGCTAATGTGTATGTTGTTATTACTTTCCATGCAGAATTCTAATGGCCAGGCTCTCAAAATATTAGAAAACAATGTTTTAATATTTTTCATCATAAAATGGGCTGTCTTATAAACACATTACTGAGAAGAAAAGACTATTTTACTAATGCAAAATAAATAAATAACAAAACTGTCTTATAAAACCACCATTCATTATGATACATGGATTTTAAAAAACATATTTTACTTCTCCAATAAGTTTAACACACAAATTAACCCAATATCTTTACAACAAAAGACAACCTCTGTCTTGGAAATTCCATTTCTCATTTAGTACAATCTGTTTGAAGTATTATTAAGGGAAGACATGCTTTCCAAGCTTAAAATGTGCTCTGTGATGTGATGTGTTACAATAGCAGCGATTCTCAATGTATGAATGTTTGTTTGAAATTCAGTGTGTATTTAACTCCTATGATGCATGCTAAATGGAGTTCCAGTACATTCTGGGTTGGGCTGGAAGCTCAAGAGAACGCTTGCACATCATATGAACACTTGATCATCTCATCAAATGGAATTTCTGTGGAGTTGTTTATATAGACTTTGAATCTGAATGATCATATCACCTCTTAGAGTGGTCCAAGCAAAGGAACTAAGGGACTCTGTCTCCCCAAATTCCCTCTTTCCAAATCCCACAAGCCCTTCATGGGAGTTGCTATGACTTAGAAAAAACAGGCAAAGCATGAGTTTCTGGGCAACTTCATCCCTGGGCCTGTGGAAAATCCCAGAAATGCCACTTGTATCGGATTGGACAGATCACTCAGTCTCTTTTCTTTTAACTGCCCAGAGATTGGGTTGTCTGCTTCTTTTTGCTCCACACTCACCCCTCGCCTGTGATCAGTCTCTCTTACTCCCTTCCCTAGCTCCTCAAAGATAGAAACAGAACCAAACTGGTTTCGTTTTCCTTGTACCTAAGCCACCATCACTAGCGGCAGAGGGAAATAAAACGAACTTGAATGAAAATGTACTGAGATGGTAACTGCAATAGAGATGAAAGTAAGATTTATCCCAGAAGATGGCAAGAGTTTCTATGGCTCTTTGGTGCAGCTATTGGTGGCCTGGTGGTAAAAAGCTGTGCTGCAATCTCAAAAGGCAGGCGGTTCAAATCCATAGCTGAAAAGGATGGCCTCTGAAAACCTGCTGAGGATCAGCATGGGTCGGTTCCAACTTGACCAAACATAACAACAAATATGAGGTGTATACTAAAGTTGAGGTCTGCCTATATATCTGAAATCAGGCAATACATTTCTATATTCTTACAAGGCAACTCCATACAATGCTAAAGCTTTCTGGTTGCCCTAACAGGAGCATTTCTAGTTTGATAGTGCCACCTAGAGGCCCTCATGAAGAAGTTCAACTGGATAGCCTGCTCAGGCTCAGGGCAATTCAATGGGGTTAAAGAGAAGGCAGTCGGCTTCTGAAAAGGTAAGTCCTAGAAACCCTATAGGGAAGTTCTGCTCTCTCCTTACAGACTCACTCAGTGGCAGCGGGTTTTTCGGCATCTACAAACCAAGACCAAGCAGGAAAATGGGAGCAACCCACTCAAAGTTCCTATTTCAGCTGAAGCCTTGATCTAGAACAAGTTTCTTGTGCAAAATGTCTGTGAGTTTTCTTCAACTATGGAACTACAAGTGGAAAGTTCTTTAGAAATGAGGATAGTTTGACTTCAGCTCACTTACTTGGTGCATGTCCTTAGAAAAGTCCAGTCACCAG